AAACAAGGAAGTACTGGCTTGTGATTTTCCCCCATATTTTTGCAGCAAACAGACAAGATAATATATAAAAGTTATTAAAAAATAGTTCCCTGGGTCCCAGTTTAATATAGGACTCGACAGAGCTTTGTTCCAAAATCCTGTTTACTTCTTAAAATGGGTTGTCTGAGTTTCTAGATGTGGATTCTTGGACTGAAAGAGATAAAAGAGTGGCAACTAAACTTCCCAGCTCCTGCAGAAATTGGCCATTCATTCGCTGCATTTCATGAGCTGTAAGCACATGCAATGGTAAGTTTGTAACTTCTTGCTTAAGCTTTCCCTTCATGGTTACTTATTACGTCAGTTGTACTAGATTCATAATGTAATCATCTCTTTTTCTCTTCAATATTCTGACAAGGAATCCACGGGAACTTCAATTTTTATTCAGAATGAATATTGGACTATGAGTCCGAACTCAGAAAGCATCTATAAAAGCTAAAGTAGTCAAAAAGCCATGGTTTGATCAGATGTTGTATTAGCTCAAACCATAAGAATAAGGCATCTCAACTTTTATCAACTCATTTGGAATTACTTTGTGAAGATTCTGAGGAATGGCAAGAAGATATTTCAACAATGGGGGACTTTCTGGAGATTAAAGTAGTGGTTGCCTTTGCAAGTGATGTAAGATTTAGACTTAGGTTTTCTTCTTTCAAATAATTGCTTCTACTAGTTTTTCTTCTTTCAAATAATTGCTTCTACTATTATCTCTTAGCGGCAACATTTATTATGATATAAGGTGACACCAACGGCTTTGCTCTTTTATATTCTTATATGTTGCTGATACATGTCATCACTCATCGTTGTACTGATAATTGCGTGGAAAATAGTTCGACTTAGAAGGGTAACCATTTACATTTCTCATTGATTCATTCATAATCTTCCTTCATTTCTAGGATCCGAAGAAGGTTAACCATAAAAGCGGAAACTAAGTTCAGGACCTCAGGTAAAGGTAATATAAGGTAGATGAAAATTTCATGCCAATAAAAGTTTTGGTAATGCTCTTGTTGAGTGGGGTATGCCTTCACTATAAGCATGGTATTCTGTTTTATTGAACAGAAGGATCCCCAAGTGGATGAGCAACTTACTTTGGAAACCATTGGGAATACTCTGTCCCTATCAAAACTTAATGTTAAAATTATGCTTGAAGTTGAGCTTATATAAAGTGGAATCATAGCAGGTGCTGCTACTACTATGGTCAGTAATTATAGTAATCAGACATCAATGATTCTTGTTTCAGGTATTAGTTATTTCCACTGCTTTACTCTCTTTTTAATTTTCTATTGCTAGAGTACCTCAGCTTCACTACTAGTGTACTAACTCAAAAATGGGAGGGTACAGGTGGGAGCAAAAAAAAAAAAGCCAAACAAAAAAAGGGGAAAGAGATTAGACAAAAAAAGGTTCAACTTGAACATTCTGGGTCCCAATAATTGTTGATATCAACTACCCATTATAAATATTGGAAAAAGATTGAAAATTGCCTATCCAGACAACACATGAAACAAATGAAAGTGCTACATTGTACATTTGATGAGTGTTCATCTGCCTGGAGATTCATTAATTTATATTGCTTGCAAAGTAAACATAACCACTCCAAGCCCTTATCTATTTTGGCCAGAAAAATATAGTGGCTTTAGGGGGAGGTGCGTTTCCTTTTCCTACGGAACAATATTTCTTGATGAATGTAGGGCTTTTTCTCCCACATGAAAAAGAAATATTTGGGTTTTGACTTTTGATATTACAACTAGTAGTCGAGAGGAAACAATGTTTGAAATATTACATTAATTATAAATTATACATAATTGATTTGTTCATGGTTGCATTGTTTTAGTTACTGTCATTTTTATCAGTGTGACCGCCATCTCCTCAGGGGGAGCCTCTTCTATGGCATATTCAGAATTTTCCTTTGTACCCTTTTGTTCAAATACGCCGCTTTAATCATTTGAGATGGTCAGCTCCTAGCATTCAGGAAGAAATGACAAAGGATTTGAATATTCTTTTGTTTCTAGAAACAATTCTAAATTTTTTACATTTTACCTGCAGCATCTTTTAAAATAGGAGGAGCTGCCAGGGCCTGTTTCTTCAACCCAAGGAAAGGTCTCATTACCGTATGGTAGTATTTCTTCACGGCAAAGCAAAATCTAAAATTCCGAGTTGCATGCATCGCTGTGGAACATTTACTTAATGTCGAAAGAAATTTCTGGTCCTGACGAAGCAACAGGCGCAGTTACGCTTATTTAATTAGCCTGACTCAGTTTGGTAGTTTTGACTTGGACCATCACAGCAGTTGCATAGTTAGGCTTTACTGCAATAAAAAGTCTAATACTCCTTGAAAGAAGTGCGTGGATGACATTTCACGGTACAACTGCTTCTATGACAAAGTGAAGCAAAGAAATCAAAAAGGTCAATTGTTCATTTAATAGAAAACAAGTGCTCCGTAGACTCCGACGATTCTTATTGAGAATAATTACTCGTATCTCATATCAAATTTATTTGAAATTTATTAATTATTATTTAATAAATAAATTTGACTTATAAAAAAAAAATTTAAGAAAAAAAAATACTAAGTAAATTTATATATTTATAATAGATAAAATTTCATATTAGGTATAAAAAAAATGTAAAAAAATTATAAAATTTTATGGGATAGACATTTCATAAGATTACTGAAGATTTATATCTTATGAATATGTATATTTGTATGATGTATGAGAGTGGATTAGAAAAGAATGAGATGATCTACGTAAATATAATAAATAGGTATATATATATTTATTTGTATTAAAAGTGCGTATATAGATATCTATTTATTTATATTGATAATATTTCATAAGATTAGAGTAGATTAAGAGGATTTTATGAGTATTAATTATAAGTGTTTGCTTTAATGTATGTTTGTAATTCTCTACAACTAGTAAATCTTATTTCTTATCCATGCACATAAGTCAATTGGATTAAATCATGTTAAATTGTTATCTTTTGTGTACTTGATTCATTATTTGATAATATTTTCGTTGACGTGAATTAGATTGAGATTTTTAGTCTAATAAGTGATATTAAAACTATAATGATCCATAACAAGTGATATCATGGTTCGAAATATGAGAATAAACAAGCTTAGATAAGCTCAATTTAAAAAAAAAATTCAAGTTCATATTTTAAAAATTAGTTTGCATGAAATGTAAAAGCACACAAGAAAAAATGATTGTTATACTCCAATTGCAGATGAAGTCAAGTATGTATAGCATCAATACAATTGATTTGATAAAATTTGAATCAATGTGGAGATTATTAAATAATAACTCAAATCCCATAACATATTTGTTTAAGATTGGTTATATATTATTTAATATGTAAGTTTGACTCATTAAAGAAGAATTTGAAGAGGAAATAGATTTTTAATAAGTAAATTTGTATGCTTATAAATAAATGAAGTCTCTATAAAGTTAGGTATGAGAAAAATATATAAGAGAGTTGTAGCGTTTTATTGGATAGACACCTCATAAGATTACTGAAGATTTACATATTATGAGTACGTATATTTGTATGGTATATGGGAGTAAATTAGAGGAGATTAAGAGGGTCTACATAGATATAATGAATGGATACATATTGATATGTATTTGTTTATGTTAAAAAAGTATATATGAGTATATGTTTATTTAGGTTGAGAATACTCAATGAGATTAAAGGAATTAAGAAGGTTTATGGGTATTAGTTATGAGTATTTGATTTGATGTATGTTCGTAATTCTATACAACTAGTGAATCTTATTTTTTATCTGTAGATATAGATCAGTTAGATCAAATCACGTTAAATTATTATCTCTTGTGTGCTTGATTTATCTTTTGATTATGTTTTTGTTGATGTAAATTAAATTAAAATTTTTAATTTAAAAAATAATATCAGAACTGTGATAATACTTAATATGTGATATAAAAAATGTGATAATTTCCAACCATTCTTCTTATATTGAATTGCTGCAATGCTTTAAGAGTTTGATGGGGTGAGAGCTTATAACTATAGGATCGATTGCATTAATAATTTACTTGTCAAGCCCATCGAGTGCTGATTTTGGATGCAAATGGAACTTTTCCAACCAGGCGGCCAATACCATTGCAAATTTGCAAATTATGGTCTAATTGTCACCACTCATCAGGTCATCATTGTGGCTTGCTAAAAGTCATGTGCTAGATGTTTTATTATTCATTTAAAGTATTACTTTTTCACTGTTGAAGACAGTAATCGCATTGATTGGTACTTAAATGGGTTTTAATTTAGTCTGAATGGAAAGTCCGAGGAAGCGTGGTTCTCAGCGGGTATGGGTAAATCAACTTTTTCCTAAATTTTGCATATTATTCTTTTGAAAATTTATTATTGGAGGCCTCAAAGAGCAATTCTTTTGAAAGCCCCAAAGCCCATGTAGTGGTCTTTTTTAACCCACCAACTATTAAGAAACAAGCCCAGGCAGCTTTGATTCTGTGTGAAATGATATGAATCACCAAGGGTTTTTCTTTAATCTTATTTTGAAATTCCTTTTTTTTTTTTTACCTGCTTAGGTGTTAGTTAAGAATTTCATTAAATAAAAAAATTACATCAACCTGAATCTCCAGTGGCACCAAATCTGTTAATCAGACCACGCCGTTTCACTCTAATCACATTCTATAGTAGCTTATGGAGAAACATGCTTGAAAGAATAAACACCTAATTGTAAAGCTAATCACTTTATGTCTTTAACTACCGACCACAATTTCATTATGTCCATCTCCACCTTTGATTTTTGTTTGTCTCTAAGTTGATTGACGGTATCAGAGTCATCAATTGCTTTGACCACATTGAGAGGAACTCCTGGATATTTGGCTCCTGATTGGTATAGCTCAATCTTCACATAAAAGGTTTTGATATTTATAGCTTTGGGATTGTTGTCATGGAGATAGTCTAGGAGATTGGACAGGTCACAGCCTGAAAATAAGCAAAGGAGGATCAGCTCATTGATGTGATGTTTGAAAAGTTGTATTATGAGGAGGGTGCATGCATGTGAAACTACTCAGGTCGGAAGCAGTGAAGATGTTAAGGGTTCCCAATTGGTGTTTCCAATGTGGTTTCACAACGTCAATGGTGATAACAGTCTTGAAAGGAGCGTTGAATGTTCCTGCTTGGTTAGATTATAGCCCCAGGAATACAAAAACAATGGCAACAATGAGAAGAGAGACGGAGTTTAAGTCCAACAACAATGGCAAGAAAAAAAAGTAGACATTCTAGTTTCTCCGGTTGGCCGAAAGGGGGAAAAAAAGAAACAAAAAATTCCCACGTAATCTTTCTACATTTTTCGACAACAAAATCATTGTAAATACACATTACAGAGAAAAAGAATCCCTTTGAGTTGAAGGCTTCAAACTTCATTGTTTGTGCTTGAAGCTAGTCTCTTCTCATTGCACCACCATCATTGCTTAGGTACAAGGATGTCAAAATCAGTAACGGTCCATTCAGCTATTTGATCAGGGTCTTTAAATATTTCAGTTCCCAAATCAACGGACATCCATTTCCTTCTAGCTGGTGGAGTACCCGGATCCTAATATTAAGCAAAATCATGTTAAGTCAACAAAAAATCGACTAGCTACTTTATCATTTTGTTTTCGAAGTTAAAGCAAACATATAGAGGGAAGAAGAAAACCTGGTAAAAATATAGCGACTGAGACAGCCTCCCAACATCAAGTACCCATGTTCTTGGATCGCCAATCCAACCTTCCCCTTGCTTAGTAGGGTATCCATATTCACCCCAAACGGGGTGAGGCAAAATCTGTAATATTTCCTGAGGTTGAGGATTGCTGTATGGATCACACAAACTATAAGGAACCTCTAGCTGCTGTGCATTCCCTGGAGCACAATACAAGTGATAGGCTGCATAAGGAAAATTGGTTGTTTCACTGCGATGCACACGTGTGCCATTGGGGAAGGTGTGGTAAGGCGGGCACATATTGAGGCTGTTTGCATTGCACCATGCACTTATGTTCGGATTTATGATCATTTCACAGTACCGGGTGACATCTGAAGTTGTATCGCCATCACATTGCTGGCCATTGTTCTTCCAGCAGCTCCCTATGTCTATTAGGTAGAACTGGCTGCTGGGACCCCCACCTTTGATTACATTTAAGGTGAACCTTACTTTAAAATTTGGTGACTCTGGAATCTGTATAGTGAGCATGGTCAGTAAATCTAATGATTATCTGAAAATGTTTCGCTAGTCAACTTGTATGATAGATAAAAAGAGTAAACAGAATGTTTTTGTAGAATGAATATACCAAATAAAAAAAAGGATGTTAATAGATAATGCTTCTGTAAGGATATAGAGAAAGAAAGAATTACTTACAATTTTGGACATCCCTCTAGTTGGATAATGGTATCCACCAGATAATCCATATGTGGCATCAGATCTCAAGTAAAGCATCAACCAAGGATACTTTATTGAAGTCTTCAAGACATGATGAAAGATCCAGCTTCCCATACCAATTTCCTTCTCCCAAGTTACGGAATAGTAAGATGCGTTCCCTAATCCTTTACTCCAATCAGCATCCAAGTCCCATGATCCATAAAATTTTCCTCTTAGAGTAGTCCAATTAGGCCCTCCCAGCGTCGTGTAGTCATGATAAATCAATGGTTGATTCATGCATCCTTCTCCAAAGCATGGGAACCCACTATCAGGACCAAATGCTCCTGTTTTATGGCCATTTTTGGGGCACTTGGCAGCAAAAGTATCCATGTTGCCACTCTTAAGCATGATCATCCAAAAATGCCATGGATTTGGGGTGTCTTGAACTTGGCATTTATAGCCTAGGTATATTTCCTTGTTTGCAGCATACAGGTTTACATCAACAAGGGCATTTGGTTGCACTCCAAGAAAAGGGTCTCCAACTCTTAGTTTGTTATCATCCTCTGTGACTCTGTGGACCAATACATAGGGCAACACGTTGCAAAGGGAGCAGTTCTTTTCTGTAAAGTATATTAATCACAAGGAACAATAATTTAATGCAAGACCTATTCCCCCACCGCTTAAAAGAAGAATCAGTTAATTGATGCCTCCTCTTTTAGGTAAGCAATTTTCTATATCTTCTGACATAATTAGAATTCAACTAGCACAGCAGCTAATTATTTTCATTTCAAAGGGATAAACACTATGCAAAAGAAATCATCAATCCAAAGCTTTTGTTGATGCCCATGTAGGCAAGACTATTTGGAAAACATAATAGAGTGCAAAAATATAATATAAAGAAATGGAAACCAATCCATTTCTGTGTATTGTGGTATATTAGTTTTCACTGAATGGCTAAATTGGAAGGATAAAATAGCTTGCCTTCTTCGGATTGAGAAGCCTTATATATGTCAAAGCAATCTGCTGCTCTGGGGCTGCCCCTGTGTGGAACCTCTTCTCCAACCTCATTGCACTGGTTCCACGCCTCTATTGCCAACCTCAAGCCATCTCTGCTCATTCCTGGATCCCCAACTGCTGATAAATACCCATCATTTTCAGCACATGCATACCTTTCCTTCCAAATAAAAGCCACCACTAGACCAAGAACGAGAAATAAACTACTTGGCTTTCTGGCTTTAGCCATTGATAAATGAAATCAAACAAACTTCAGTTCATACGCATATACATTCCCATGCTTATGCATTGTATTTATGCATGGAAGAGAATTGTTTGAAGTTGAATGAAAGTATTTAGGAAAGTGCTCTCGGTGTTATTATATTTTCTTTATGATTGCATCAAATCTACTCTTTCTCATATGCCCCTTTTCTTGTTCTTTGCGAATTTTCTGAGGTTTACTAGTCACAACTTTTACCGTTCGTTCGGTACACATTCTGTTTCATAAATTGTTGGCTTGATGCTTAAGCTTTTGTTGAAACTGATTTTCCTACCAGAAAGAAAACTTGTACCAGCAAGAAAACGACAAGTACAGACCAAATTTACTTACAAATTATATCCCAATTAATCCAACTTAATCTACGATTAAGTATACTAAAACATGTTCTTTGAGCCTGTTCTAATCTTGAATGGATGAATTATACCCTTCACATGGAAGAAATAGAATTATGATATAGCTGCTAGTAACTACTATAGCAGTGGTAACAACCTTCACCGGACCAAAATTCTGCACTTTTCTTGTGACAAAACCAAAACTAGGTACCTCAGTTTTGTGTCTGAAGAAAGACAGACCACCTACTACTAGCAGTACAACTGTACAAGCCAACAGCTGAAGCCAACCTAGTAATAGCAGCTTCATATGTTGGGTGAAACTGACGAGGGAACCCCTATCTGTTCTGCCTTTTGGAAGTCCATAGATGGGACCATGCTGTTTTTGACGCCCTAAGAAGGGAGTAGTATACAACTTTTGGCCAACCTCAACATCGAGCTTGCTTCAATAAGCCTTTCTAATTTAATTCCATAAAACACTCGCTGCATGACCCTTTTCCACGAGTCTTCGTAATAAATCACATGGGGTTGGTGTGGATAGACCGATATTAAAGAGATTGACCTAAACGATTAAGACAGTTGGTGTTCTTTTATTCACAGTAATCTTATTACCAATTAGTTCATTTGATTAGCCTCAATATTGTGGAAAACAAGGAAAATTTGAATGCATTACACTTTATCACAAGCAGTAATTGATCGATTTATAGGAGGAAATGGTTAAAGAGGACAAAGAAGGTAACAGATGCAGACCACTTGCTGCCACATTTAGAGTAAACTCTCCCTTACAACGAGTTTGATTCAGGAAATGCAAAGACAAAAGAGGGTGCAGTTGATGTAGTAAAAATATTAAATCCCTATAATTTATGTTCTTTTGTTATAAAGAAGGAAACCCAAATAGTTTCTTCCCCCATATTCTTTCTCTGTCAAATGAAACAAGAAACCCGGAGAGGAAATGAGCAGACCCATAGTTAGTCACTTAAACTTGGGCGAGAGTTCAGCCCAGCCCAGACGATTTGAATGCATTGTACAAACTTTGACCATAAAAGGGAGAAAAGCCATTTGGAAGCAAAAAAAAAAAGAAGGCTAAAAAGCTAAAGAGGCAAACAGTCCACCGCATTTTGCTTACAAAAGTGACGGAAGAAGACTAAAGAGATGAAACCCTTAAATCATCAAATACCATAACAGTATCAGATTAGTATTACATCGAAAAGGAAAAAGAAGAACCAAATCACAAAAACCCAAGAAGAAGTGCCAAATTTCCTTGTACAAAAACTTGCTTCCATTTCAAAGCCTTAGCAGCTGTTGGCATTGCAAATACTAAATCTGTAATCTGGGGTTGAAGGAACGCTTCGCTTTTGGTAGTTGTCATAAATGAACTTGGTTTGTTCCCTCAGGTGGGGGACCAAGGGGGTCCTCTGCTGAGAATAAATTTCTCTTCAAGTACAAACCATAAAGTGGAAAAAGGTTAGGTGGTCACAGGATAAAGGGCGGTCCTTTCTTTTGGGAAAAAAAAAAAATACTGGCACTAAACCCACGTTCCTATTTAAGAGCCTGACTGTTCCCAAACTACTAGAACCCTCCATTATCAACAAATTCAGTTTTCTTATCAGCTTGCCCTCTTTGCATCTCCTAAACCTTAACAAATCAAATAATTCTTGTCCCAAAAACCGGTCTTCAGGAATTTCTTATGGTGTTTAATGATGAAGTGGGGAAGAAAAAAAACTTCTCCATCCTCGTTCTCGTCCCACCTTCCTTCACTTTCTCGTATGTTCCCCACTGCATGGCTTTCCATATTCAAGCGAATGAGCATCCATTCTGAACCTAAACCTGCAAAAGAAAAGCAAAAAGAGATGAGGAATTCTATGTCAGTGAACTCATCAAAGTTTGTTGGTGGAGGAGAAAGATTCCATGGTGGCGATGGTGAGGCATTTTGGAAGCTGTCATTTGGAGAAGATAGCGCTGATGGCAAGACTAGTGAAAGTGTATCCCGGTCAGCTTGGTATGATTCAGATGATGAGCTTGATTTTGCACCGTCAAGTTTTCGGAGCTGTGGATCAAATGCTACGAGCATAAAGGAAAAAGAGGAAACTAAGGCGTTCAGCAATATGGCTTTTGGTAAAATGAAGATCAAAGAATTTCGTAGGGATACGCAGATTTTACCAGACATGAATATGTACAAAGGAGAAAAGACGACAGTACTTAAGTCACCAAGGAGCAGGATGAAAACCGAGAAAGAATTGAAGTTGAAGAAGACAAATGAAAGAGCTATGGAAGAGAAAAGGTTGAAAAGACAAAATAAATCAGGTGAAGCACAGCATAAATCAGCAAAATCAGCAGACAAGAAAACCTTGGAACTGGAACCTTTGAGAACACTTTCAATTATTGAAAGGGAAAATCTGAAGTTGGCGGGTGATTATCAGAGAAAGCATCAACATCCATCTACCATTAATCTAAGAACCTCTAATTTAACAGCAATTAAAGACGGCTCTGCATTTCCAGCTCAGAAATTAGCGGAAACTGATGTATTTTCTCCAGAAGAGTTTAGTTCAGAGGGGGAAAAGTGGAAAGTAAAGAAAAATGAAAAGATGAAAGTGAAGAGTGAGAAACAGAGGAAATCTCTTTACATGAGCAGAGAATTACCGAGGAGGAGAATGAAGCAAAACAACAAGGTCCGGGCTTTTTCTCCAAGAACAGCTTCCAGAGTTGAAATCTGCAAAATAAAAGCTCTGGAAGACATGAAGAAGGCCAAATTGAAGATGAAGGCAGCAGAACAGACGGCAATTAGCCGAAGAACTGGATTAGAGAACTTTGCCATGGTGAAATGCTCATTTGATCCAGAGAGGGATTTTAGAGATTCAATGATCGAGATGATCAGGGAGAACGGGATCAGTCAACCAGAAGAACGAGAAGAACTCTTGGCTTGTTATCTGACACTAAATTCTGATGCATACCATGATCTAATTATCAAAGTATTTCAGCAGGTATGGCTTGACCTGGATCAGGCCTGTTCTGACACAGTCCTACAGAAAGAACAATGTTTCTTTGATTAATAACTTTCTATGTGATGATGACCAAAATTGTGAATGATTTTCTAGTTTCTACAGTTACACTTGCACTTATGCTTCTAATTTGCATCAAATTACAATTTTAGCTTTAAATCCATAGTTTAAGAGTCTGGCTAGAAGTGACTTGACATCAAGCATGCAAATGCAAGAAGATATTCACCTTTACTTACACGCTTATGCCCATATCTCCATTATAAGCAAAGTCCCTAGACATTTTCTCGTACTGTCTCATGCTTTCCTACTGCACCTTCATTCTGCACCATCATTTTGCTGTTGGCTATTGTTAGCACTTAGCAGCAATCCAGAACAGGGCACTTCTTTCCAACTTTCCAGCATAATGGATTCTGATTTTTCATAATTCGGTAATTTCTCTTCTGTAGTCTCAACATTCATTTCACAACTACTAGTGTATGGTGCATGCTACAGAATTACTGCCACGTTACTTCCATAAGCCTAGATTCAATTTGTGTCTGGTGCCATATCTTGGGATAGCATTGCTAGTTCTCTGAAGCAAATTAGACTGCAAACTTTTACCAATGTTAGATTTGTTCAAGAATCATTCTTCGCCAGCTAAGAACTAAAGAACAACTCCATCTACTTCAATCATGCTACACCCAGGCTCCTTGTTTATTTTTTAGGCCTTTATCTTTCACCTCACATTCATAACATCATCCTATCTTTGCAATGATGCATATGTATTTGACAACTGAACATAACCAGCACCATTACTTGGTCTAACTCTAAGAGCTTGATAGCAACGTGCTCTGCCATTTCCACATTACCATGGTTTTTACAACCACTCAACGAAGACTCCCAAAGCACAGGAGCGTCTTTCAGTGGCCTTGTTTTCACAAGGTCCAAAGCCTACTCTAATAATCCCACCCAATCCAGGAGATCCACCATGCAGCCATGGTGCTCAATAGTTGCTTGAATTCCATAATCGTCAACCATGAGTTGAAACATATGACGTCCCTCATTTAACAAGCCTGCACAACTGCAAGCAGAGAGAACACCAACTGAAGTCACCTCTGTTAGGAAAATGAGGTCCAGTCCCATGTAAGTGGTTTTGGACCAAGTAAAGGCCATGGGTCTTGATCTTTTATTTTACACAGAGCTCTAGCTACTTAATAAAAAAGAGGTGGGGTTATTTTAGGTGTGTGTCGAAAACCAAGCAGAGAAAGAAGAAAAGCCAGGAAAAGCAGAGAAAGAAAAAAAAGAAGGGAGAGTTAGTTGAACGGAAGTCGATCCGTGGTCCGATTGAGTTAGAACCTTGTCAGGAGGTTTATGATTCAGAGTTCTACATTCTGAATGGTAAAGATCGGGTTTGAAGCTCTCTAAGAACAAATCCAGGGTGTATTTGTTGAGTAACTTATTTGGTGAGATTTCTCCAATTGTTTCTTTAGTTGTTGATTAGCTCTAGTTTTAGCTAGAGAAGAACTTTGCATAACTATTATTTGATAGTGAAGATTTTTCTGGTGGCTCGTGGTTTTTTTCCCTCTACATTGAAGGGTTTTCCACGTAAATCTTGGTGTGTTTTATTTTTCCTGCGTATTTGATTATTGATTGTTGTCTATTGCTTCTGTGTTGTTGTGATTATTGTTTCAGGCGCAACAAGTGGTATCAGAGCGAGGGTTATTTTGAGACATCGATATAGAAGCAAACCAGGATAGAAGTAAATTCTGTTTGAGATCATGAAGGGTGATACAGGTTCCATGATAAAATTGACAGCATCGAATTATTCAATTTGGAAGCCTATGATGGAGGATCATCTATACTGCAAAGATTTGTATGAGCCAGTATTGGATGATTCGGCTAAACCAGCAGATATGAAAGATGAAAGCTAGAAGAAGCTAGGTAGAAAGACGCTGGCTACAATCAGAAAATGGGTTGATATCAGCGTGTTTCATCATGTAGCGCAGGAGTCAGATGCTCACATTGTTTGAGAAAAATTGGCAGCATTGTATGAGAGAAAAACATGTATGAATAAAGTTATGCTTGTTAAAAAGATTGTAACTTTACAGTACAGGGATGGACGATCTGTTACAGAGCACTTGAGTGATTTTCAAGATATATTTAATCGGATGACTGCTATGAAGCTTAAGATGGATGATGAAATGAAGGCGTTATTTTTTTTGGGTTCATTGCCAGACAGCTGGAATACTCTAGTTGTGACTATTCTTAATTCAGCTCTTGATTATAAGGTGACATTGGAGATGGTAAAGGACAGTATGCTTAATGAAGAAACAAGACGAAAAGATGTAGACCCTGAGAATCAAGCTCTAGTCACAGAGAATAGGGGTAGAAACATCGACAGAGGTTATGACTCAAAAGGCCGTGATAAGTCTAAACATAGATCCAAGTCTAGAGGTAAAGTGAAGTGTTTCTATTGTGGTAAGGCGGGTCATATAAAACGAAATTGTAGAATCTTAAAGCAAGAGCGAAAAGATGAGAAAGGTAAGAGTTCGGATGATGACAATGTTGCAGCAGTGAATTCAGATAGTGATTCAGTTACTTTAATTTGTACACATGATGATTGTAATCATGTTAGTGATCCCGACATTGAGTGGATAGTTGACACAGGAGCAGTATATCATTGTGTTCCTAAGAGAGAGTTGTTTACAACTTACAAAGTAAGAGACTTTGGTTGTACCAAGATGAAAAATAAGAGTGTGTCATAGATTGTTGGGATTAGTGATATTATTGTACAAACTAGTACAGGCTGCATGTTGACTTTGGGGGATGTCAGACACATTCCAGATATGAGAATGAACTTGCTTGCTATTAATATCCTTCATAAGGAGAGATATGAAAATCGATAAAAGAATGGACAATGGAAGCTTCTCAAAGGATCTATGATAGTTGCAAGGGAAAAACTATGCTGCACAATATATAAGACATGGATGCAATTGAACGGTAACCAGGTAAATACCGTTGAAAATGATGCTTCAGCAAACTTGTGGCACAAAAGGCTGGCACACATGAGTGAAAAAGGGTTACAGGTTTTGGCAAGGCACTCTCTCATTCCCTTGACCAAAGGTATGTCTCTCGATTCATGTGATTATTATTTGTTTGGTAAGCATCATAGAGTTTCTTTTCGTAAAAGTTCTCAGAAAAAAGAAAATAGATTGGAATTAATTTATTCTGATGTATGTGGTCCCATTGAGGTTAAGTCATTAGGTGGTAGCAGATATTTTGTTACTTTTATTGATGATACTTCACGTAAAACTTGGGTGTATATGTTGAAATACAAAAGTCAAGTACTGCAGTATTTTTAAAAATTTCATGCCATGGTTGAAAGGATGACAGGGTTACCTTTGAAGTGTATTCGAACTGATAATGATGGGGAATACACATCTAAAGGCTTTGAAGAGTATTGTTCACAGCATGAGATCAGGCATGAGAGGACAGAACCTGGAACACCGTAGCATAATGGTATAACTGAAAGAATGAATCGCACCATTATGAAAAAAATCAGATGTATGTTCAGAATAGCAAAATTACCAAAGTCATTCTGGGGTGAAGCAGTCAACACAGCTTATTATTTACTTAACAGATCACCATCAGTTCCTTTAAGCTTTGACATTCCAGAAAGAGTGTGAATAGGGAAAGATACTTCATACTCTCACTTGAAAGTTTTTGGGTGTAAAGCATTCATGCATGTGTCAAAAGAGCAGAGATCAAAGCTTGACAGTAAAGCTACACAGTGTGTGTTTGTAGGATATGGTGATGAGGAATTTAGCTACAGGGTATGGGATCCAGTAAAGAGAAAGACAGTCAAAAGCAGGGATGTGATCTTTCATGAAAAAAAAACTATAGCAGACTTTGAAAAAAATGAGAAGACTACACAGGTTACTGTTGAGTGTGATGTTTCAACACCGACAGAGATTTCACAGGAAAGAGCCACAGATGGTGAAAATGAGCAAGAAACAAAACTTGGGGATATGAATGAGCCAGCTACAGTTGGTGATGAGCCAGATGTTATTAGTTTTGAGCAGGGAGAGCAATCCTCTCTACCTAAGAGTGTTGTGAAGGGGGAGCTACCTTCGGCATCAAGTGATGTAGAGTCTCAGCCTAAGAGATCTACTAGAGAGCGCAGGCCATCTACCAGGTATCCAAGTTCATATTTTATTTTAGTTACTAGTGAAGGGGAGTCAGAAAGCTTTCAAGATGTGCAGACTACTTCGGATAGAGAGCACTGGTTAAAAGCAATGAAAGAAGAGATGGAGTCATTGCGAAAGAATGGTACTTATGATCTTGTTAAACTTCTCAGGAAAAAGCTTGAGCTTTGCAGTAACTTGGCCCAAATGAGTTCCCTGGCCAAGGTAAGTTCCAAATGAAACTGCTATGGTGATGAATCTCCTCCTAATGGGATCGGAAGGGGAGATTGTTAGGAAAATGGGGTCCAGTCCCATGTAAGTGATTTTGGACCAAGTAAAGGCCATGAGCCTTGATCTTTTATTTTACACAGAGCCCTAGCTACTTAATAAAAAAAGGTGGGGTTGTTTTAGGTGTGTGTCGAAAACCAAGCAGAGAAAAAAGAAAAACCAGAAAAAATAGAGAAAAAAAAGGAGAAGGGAGAGTTGGTTGAACGGAAGTCAATCCGTGGTCCGATTGAGTTAGAACCTTGTCAGGAGGTTTATGATTCAGAGTTCTACATTCTGAACGGCAAAGATCGGGTTTGAAGCTCTCTAGGAACAAATCCAAGGTGTATTTGTTGAGTTACTTATTTGGTGAGATTTCTCCAATTGTTTCTCTAGTTGTTGATTAGCTCTAGTTTTAGCTAGAGAAGGACTTTGTATAACTATTATTTGATAGTGAAGTTTTTTTGGTGGCCCGTGGTTTTTTCCCTCTACACTGAAGGGTTTTTCACGTAAATTTTAGTGTGTTTTACTTTTCCTACGTGTTTGATTATTGATTGTTGTCTATTATTTCTATATTGTTGTGATTATTGCTTCAGGCGCAACAACCTCATTGTGTTCTAAACCTTTCACAAGCATCTCTGAGAAGATCACGAATGCATTTTCTCCAAAGCCATGCATCCCTAAACAACAATTATGGAATTCCATGTACTAATATCCTTCCTTGAATCATGTCTAAACACATTCGGGGCCTCATCGATGTTCCCACATTTTGAGTACATGTCAACAAGAGTTGTACCTACAAAACCGTTGATACCTATTCCATTCTATCAATATAAGCATGAATCCTTTCACCTTGCCATGCTGCTCCAAGATGAGCACGCAGACCAATGTGCAATTATCCGGCCTCACTTCCTCATGCTGCATAGCTTCAAAAAGCACCAAAACTTAAACCAAAACAGCCTGTATGAGAATAACCGGAAACCATAGCATTCCAAGACACCACACCTTTATAGGCATTCCATCAAAGAAACTTCTAGCTTCTTCGAGTAACCCGGTACTTAAATATGCTGAAATCATAAAATTCCATGACCCCACAGTCCTTTCCTCAATTTCATCCAAAAAAAAAAAAACTACTAGTCGATCTTATAGATCCAGTTTAAATATAAGCACTCAAAGCATTCCTTTTAGGAATTCTTTGCAAGCCCAAACTAACCACTTTCCCCATACAAATGAATCAAAGTATTTGCCACAAAAACATCAAACCCAATACCCTTTTCAACAGCAGACCATGAATCTGCCTCTCTTCTTAAAGCCGGACAAACCCAGCACAAGCCTTCAAAACAAAAGTGAAACTATGCTTATCAGGAAAAACAGGGCCTTCAAGCATTTGGAGGAGAAAGAATGCGTTTTGAGGGGTATGGCTATTGGCATAAGCTATGATAAGGAAGTGTAAGAGAAAGAATATGGGTTACTAATGTGAGTGAAAACGGAGTGAGCATAAGTGATAAAAGAGGGTGATGGGGTCAGGATTTGTAACAGCAAAAGAAATGAGTTTGTTTGAAGCGAAGGTTGTGTTGTACAAAGACCAGTCTTGACAAGGTGAGCATGGACTTGGTGGATTTCAGAAATGGAAGTTGCCATTTGTGTGAAGGAAAGAATTGGTGGCTGAGATAAGGTTCCACTCATTGTCGTAAAAGTCAGCTATTTTTCTGTTTCTGCAAGGAGAGAAAAGGGCTTCAAAGATTTTAATATTTTCTTTTAAGAGTGAATGTAAAACTGTAAACAGAAAAGAAGATATTTTTACAAAAAATTTAAAAAGAAAAGAAGAGTTTTACTTTTAATTCATTGGTTGAATTATAGTAAATAAAATGATTTTTGTAGTCTTCTTTTTTCTTCTCATTTTATTTGCATACTTAAATCTAAACAAGAAATATTGATTCCGTTAATGTGCTATTCATCTAAAACATGTTTTCCAGTTGCATCATTGCATCAAACTCCAAAACCACAAACCAGCCACGTTGCGTTTGTAGCACAAAAAACACCAAAACCCAGAAACCATCCCAAACGCGTCCGTCTCCAATTACAAACGTTGAGCGAAACAGAAACCGAGCCAGGGCAGCAACAAATATACTTTACTCCCATCTTCATCTTTACAATTGCCTTAACACAAACAGAAAATGCTGACAGCTTATGTGTGGCGCATGATATCGATGATATTTAGTTGCAAAACAGATTTATCGCTATCCAAACAATAAACATACACCATACAATACATCCAGTATTATGTTGAGAACCAAAAGGGTTACTTTCTAATACCAACAATTATTATTGTAAATCTAAATAGCCTGTTGGAGGAAGCGGACACCTTCCTATTACCTAAAGAAGCCAAAGTGCCATTCAATAGCCTGACATAGATGTAATAGGATAAGCTAAACCATGTACTTGAAAGTTCAAGCCTTCAAGTGGGCGCAGGAAAAAAGCCAAACATGAACGATGATCATATTGTAATCACCATTAGTACACATTTCAAGAATGTTGAACATGCATGCAAATTGCAATCTAAAACAGACACTCCTTTATGCAGGCAGCCATAAAATAAAGATGGTAACATGCTGACCTTATAAATACGCTAAAATTGGCATTATTCCTCAAAAATATGTGAAGCATAAGTGAAGTATATTGAAGCAGTAAAAAAGAGGCCATGTGAATCACTATAGATATATAGCACCTAAAAACAAATGAACAAGGGTGGTGAACATTAGATCATGACATGCTCCAGAAGATGAACTCAAACATAAGTATCTACTTGTTTCCACATCAAACCAACCACACCTAGATTTAGTACGTCAGAAATATTGAGGCATCAAAAGCCGTAAAAAATAATCAACTAATATCAAGTTCTCTCCGCAGGAGTAAGATGCCCCATCTGTTCTGCAAGGTAATTTACATTCTTCATACTCCACCAAAATCTGCCATGATCACTAGGTTTGCTTTCATTCTTTCTGGCATCAGAATCTTTTCTTTCTGACTGAACTTCCTGAGTATCAGTTGAACCAGGATTTTCAGTCAAAAATTGCTCCCAGAATACATCATTAACCCCAGCTGCTTCAGGTGCAGTGTTCACTGCAGCTTGTTCCTTTGCTATAACTGGCTCAGAAGCAACAATGGCGACGGGCTCAGAGTTCATGTCAATCCCAGGGGAATTAGGTCGAGCATTAACATAAAGTTGTATGCAAGATATTGCTGGGCTTTCTGCACAACTTGTTGATTCATCCAATTCTAGGTTTGAATTAAGTTGAATGTTAGTTTGACCAAAATCGTGTGCCACATTCTCCCAAAACACCATGGATGACTCTAATTTATCAAATGGCTCCATGTTGGACAATGATGAGCTATCTGCATTTTCTCTAGCAATTAGAGAATTGCCTGTCTGATTATCTTCAATCCCAGCTTTATCATATAAGTAAGCAATTCTAGGCAACCTTCTCTTTCTGTCATTAACCTCCAATTGTGGTGTCAGATCTATGGCAAGTCCTGGTTTCTGCAAGACTCGAGCCACAGAAGACACCATTATTTGCTGCCGCTGCTCCATATTATGGAAACGTTCCCTCAAAACCCGCATTTGCATCTCAAATCCTTGCCGTTCCTGTTCATGCCTCTTTAACTCTAAAACAAGCGATTCTATTTCATTCTTACGTCTCTCAATCTCATCACTTAAATTCTGCCTCTCTGATTCTGTTAAAGCAGAAGCTCCTTGACCTAGGAGATTCTGAATGGAATGACTATGAACTGGTTTGCGTCTGTGTATGTTTTTCAAAAGATGAGGCTGACCACTTAAAAAATCCTCATTTGCAAATTCCCACCGTTCAGGATCAATTTTCCTGAAACCCTGCCCAAATATGAAAATAATTCAATTCAAGCCACAATAAGAAACAAAAAAGTAATTAATTTATAAATGTGGAGAGACCAAAATCAAGTGGCTCACATATGTATTAAGCTGTCTGATAAAGCTAGAAAAGTTATTGTGCTTGAAGAATCTTGGAAGTAAATCTCTTGCAAACTCTGGCGGATTCCATACAATGAAACTTTTATTACTTGCAGTCCATGACACAATAGAATCCGTGGAAGCGTCATCCACCATCTCATATGTCTTTGTAAGGAATGGAGGGAGTGAACTTGAGCTTCCCTGGGCATCATCCATACCAAAATTTCCAGTGTACGTAATCCCCAAACTCCTAAAGTCAGTTCCCAGCAGTCAAATATCAACCAACTGCAATAATTTACTCATAAATCGATCTCTCAGATGTTGGATCTAACCAGTCAAAAATTTCCCTGGGCATCATCCATACCAAAATTTCAGTGTATATAATCTCCAACCTCCTAAAGTCAGTTCCCAGCCGTCAAATATCAACCAACTGCAATAATTTACTCATAAATCGAACTCTCAGATGCAATAATTTATTCTTCTGCAATACCCAGTCAAAGATTTCAGGTATGTCGATCTAACCAGCTAAAAATCCCTAAAAACCCAATTCAAATCACTCAACTCTCTTCCAAAATTTAATGAAAGCAAAACCCTTTCGTCCTCCAATCACAAACTATATATTATCGTTCAAGTTTTTCCGGCTTCAAATTAAAAAAGAAACATCACCGATATCCAGAGAATTGAGAAGTCAAAACCCACCAAGGTCTCGAACATGCAATAGCTATTATACAAAAGTCCTGTATGCAAACCAAAGCTAAAATTAAAACTAAAGTTAAATTAAAAAACGAACAGAAAAGAAACTGTTTGATTCTGTTATTAGTTTGAAACTGTCAACCATTTGAAAAGCCGTTGATCAGTTCTCCAAGAACCACAACTGCAATTTTTTTCCTCATTTTCGAACAAAAGAGGAAAGAAAAAGTAACAACTTGAAGCAAAAGCAACAAGAAATAATTAAAAATTAATGAATGGTTCACGAGCGTTAGTTGATTTGTTATTACCTGAGACAGTACATAAGAAAAAGGCGAAGTTGCAGAGAAGATGATGAAATATGACCCGGAATTCGAAAACTCGCAAACAAATAAACAAAAACGAATCGTTTAGAAATTTGAGGGGTTTTTATTTTCTCTTTTCTGCTTCGAGAATATTTGGGGATTCTCGTTCTTTGAATCGCGAAAGAGTAAGAAAGGTCAGAGATTTTCCACGATATTGTACTAATTTTCTTTGTCTTTTTTTTAAAGAAAATTTGTAATTAAGTGTAGGAGCAATTGAGTGTCATTATCGTTGAAATTTCAAAAATGGGGACATTGACGTGGAGGAAAATGATTGGTGGATGATTTTCTAATTCATTCTTTTAAATATATATAATAAATAGAGAGAGGGGATTAAAGGAAAGACCCGTAAATATATGGATGTTAGCGTATCTTAATGTAGGGGTGACGTGTGTGCTTTGGTGAGAAAATCTCTAGAAATTTAAGGGATTTGTGTATTTACACGTGTCAAGCTAAAAATGGTTAGAACTTTAAATACTGGAATAGAAAATGATGTAATGAAAAAAATAATTGGGAAAAGTTTGATTTTTTGTTACGTTTCGGCCCTTCTTTCTTTTCTTTTTTTTTTTTTTTTTCTCGGAGTTTCCAAAAATACGGAACTAACTCAAATATAGATAAACAATTCAAAAAAAATTAAACGTCCATGTCTATACTTGCAAGGTTGAATTTTAGAATTTCATATAAAGTGTTATGAGCTTCTAAAAATTTTGAGTTGAAGTTTGGTGATGTGCTTTCCATTGCAATGGCAAATGGCAGTGACATTTGGCCCATGTCTATCCGTGATTGGATGTTAATACTTGGGGCCGAGGCTTTTGTGGACAAATGATGCCACAAACAGAATATAACCCTTGTTTGACTTTTGGCTGGTGAGTCGATGTTTTTATGGATATTTTGAATGAGTGATAAGGTTAATTTTTAAAAAATTAAAAATTAATTATTATAATAAAATTAAAATTAAAAATAAGATATATATTTTAATAATAAAATAAATTATTAGTAAAAAAATAATCATTATAAATAATTAAAAATTAAAAAAAAAATCAAAGGTAAAAGGGGAAAGAGATGCTCCGATGAAAACAATATTTTCTTATTGAGTTTAAAGCTCCAATTGCGAAGTACGGCGCCATTCTTTTGTTATCTAAATGGTATATCAGTGAGGTTGCTTCCTCTAATCACATCACAGCGACGTGAAACGGAGATCCACATGGACCCTTAATCATTGCGGTGGGTGGCCCCCCCAACTTGGGAAATGTAATTTGGGCCTTTTTAAAGTCAACGACAGCTATTTGAAGAGTGAAGCCCGTTAAACTTCTTGGGTTAATCGCTGAACCCCTTTCGTTGGCCCAAACTTTGGCTTAAGTAGAATGCCTTTTTGTTTTTTTTATTTAAGAAAAATATTCAACTGCTTTTTCATCTTCTAAATGATGGAGAATTCGAGATAAGATAAATATAAAATTCGAAACTATCTTATTTTCTATTTTAATTCTTTATGGCCACTACAAAAGCAAAATGAGAAGTGAAAAGACAAGGTACCAAACGAGGGGGCTCCGAGGCAGAACCTCCCTGTTGCTGGGGATGAAATGCAAAAAATGTCCATTGTCTCGTGGGTGGCGGGCATATCGGGCATCACGTGACCCCACCAGTTTAACGGATATGATTTAGAGCAGACGGGCTTAGACGGACCCCACCACATTTCAACCACCACCGCAAAAAAAGTGTTTAATCCCATCCCTCCCGTAATTGGTGCCTTGCTAAATGGGAAGAAAAAAGCCACCAAAACACAAAAAAGGCAATATAGAATTACGGCTACAGTAGGCTTAATTAAAGCAATGGGGGTGGCGGACTCAACGGGGTCAATTCAAATCCATTTAGTATGTCCTCTTGGAGTCCGCGGCGCACGTGCGGAGGTACCGGACCCACATCTTATCCTAAGTGCTTCTAAATTTCTTTTAATTTGATTTTGATGATTAAGGGAAATTTTTAATGACGATTTAACCCATTAGTGCTCCATTAGTAGAATAGTAATATAATATTTTATAATTATCAGATCAAGATTTAATTTTAATAATTTTAAATATAAAAATAAATTTTATTTTTATGTATCTTTAATTATCATTTATAATTGTAAAATATACTCAAATTTAATGTATCAAAATATAAAAAAAAAAATATTTATGATATTTAATAAAAATATATATAAATCGAATTGAATCAACTTAAATTTGATTGATATAATTGGAAACTTGTTCATGATTGGATCCACATATTAAAATTCTTTTAATTTAAAATCAAACGGGGAAAAGAATATTTAACAAGAAAAAAAATGGGAGCTTAGGAAGAGATATAGAAAGGCTTGGAGTGAGAAATCAAATCGGAGAGCCCAAATAGGGAGGGTGGCGCCGAAGCAGAACAGGGTGGTCCCCCTTATCACACACCTGTCAAAGTTGAAACACCTGGTGGTCTAATTATGCAAACTCACGCCCACAAGAAAAGGAGGAGAGGTCATGTGTTGGTGCCGGTGGTGGGCATGGTATCGTGAAGTCGAGAGCGGCCAAAGAAGCCTAGCGGAGCAGTCGTGGCGGCAGATCAGAGGGAGAAAAAGGATATACTACTTAGTACTAGTGTCACGGGCCCATCTCCGTGTCTTAAAATCGCGCGAAGTTCGAGTCTCGACGCTAGCATTATATTATTTACCAAATCTCATGAATCATGATTATTTATTTACGGATTTTAAGTATGTAGCTTCAGGAGCATAACAGCCAACCAACATACAAAGGATTTACACATATGCAGTACTGACAAATGTGACAGTCAGTCAACTCAGCCTGCCCACCGGTTCAACGAGGCGGGTCCCCGCCGCACATACGCTGCATAATGTCCCATCAACGGATCAACTTGCCAAATTGTTTTTATCACTTTCTCCTTTTTTTTTAGAAAAAAAAAATACTAGAAAAAGAAATTGAAGCCATTTCGTTCTCCTTCTAACACACTAAGTTCCAAATGCAACTTTTGGCTTTAGCCCCTTTTATCCTATATTTGATTTCGTTTTATGGATTATTTATTCAGTCTAATTTGAATGTTATTAAAACAATGCAAAAATATATTTGATCGTTTGGGATTGTTATAGATTTATTTCTTTAGGTTAATTAGGAATTTATATTGATAAATTTATATAATTATTTTTAAAAATAACATATAATATATTTAATATTTAATATTTAATATTTGAAAATTTTAAATTATGATTTTTTATAAAAAATTAAAATGAAAATTATGATAGATTAGTAACACATAAACAATTAATTCAACCAAATGTTGCTCTAAAACGAAAACGGCTAAAGCTAACAAAACATTATTTTGCAGGCGAATTGTCTTTACCTTTACAATGTTTATTGTGGCTGGGGCAGGTGTAGCTTTTTAAAAAGCCTAAACACGTGTTACCCATGTGATCCCGGAATAAAGCTTTGCATGTTAATCAGTGGCTCCCTCGTAATTTTAAGGATCATTCATGGCCAATTGCACTACTTCCTTATATTTAGCTCACACCCTTCCCCGAGCATCTTGCATTTAACAACACTTCGTCACTTTCCTCTCCAAAAAAAAGAAAAAAACACAGAGGAATTTATATATATATAAAAAAAGCCAAATCCTTTCTTTCTTTTTCTTTTTTCCTCACTCTGTTTGTTTCTTGAGAAAATAATACTCCCGACTTCCATTAACTAAATAAGTTGATGACGTCGCTATTTTACAGAAGGCATTGAAGCATGACGTCAGGGACGAGAATGCCTACGTGGAAGGAGAGGGAGAACAACAAGAGGAGAGAAAGGAGGAGGCGAGCGATCGCGGCTAAGATCTTCGCGGGGCTACGGATGTACGGAAACTACAAGCTTCCGAAGCACTGCGACAACAACGAGGTCTTGAAAGCTCTGTGCAACGAAGCTGGTTGGACCGTCGAAGAAGACGGTACCACTTACAGAAAGGTAAACGAAAAAACCTATTAACTCTTTTTTTGGCATCTATATGCGTATGTTAGCACAAAGTTACGGAATGGTGTTAGAATGCACCATGAGTAGCAATTGATCTTCTTTGTTATTACCATGAACGGTTGAGATTTGATTAAAACTGCAACGGTGTTTGTTAAGAAAGGGGAAAGCACAAAGCACGAAGGTTGTCAAAGATTCGTTTTTCTGTTTATGTTTCTGTTTCGGCTTTGGTAACGCAAAAAGGACGAAGAAGTTTTTTTCGGACAGCTTTAATCAGAACTTGCTTTTTAATATGACCATAACGCCCTCATCGGTCATATAAAATTACCATTTTCAGTCTGTCAATCTACTGTAGCATTTCTGACAAGGGTAATTCCGTCATTTCGATTCGCCATCCAATATGCATATCCTAGATTGGAACTCGCGCTCTGCTTTAATGCAACTGAAAAAAGTACATTTCCAGTTTTGTCTTTTTCCTCTCCCAAAATGCCACAACAAATGTCATCAGTGTTGGCGGAACAAATAAGGTCACTTTGGTCATTTTAACATAAGGTTTTTTATTCCGAAAATTTCCCGGGATTATTGGCTTGGCAACGCTTTTTAATCAGACGTAATGAAAAAAAATGAAGGAGAAAAGGAGATATCGAATCCTTGGATTCCACTTTTAGTTAATGGAGGAGGAAACAAAGCGTGTGGGGGATGGGGTTTTTGATTAAGCTTACATGTTGGAAGAGGTAGCGTGTTAGCGTGGCTCATTATGCTTAAGTAACGCCATTGTCTTTGACATTAGTTTTCTCTTTTTATCAAAGTTTTGTCGGATTGCAATGACTATGTTGCCCTATCATGCTTTATTTTTTCATCAGATGTGACCTCGGGATTGGTTTGGAGACAAAAATGTCGCATGTAATGCTTGGCAAAATGAAGACTGGTAGTTAGATTCTCTTTATAGAAATGATTTATGTTCATAATTCATCATATGCATTGATCTTTTCTAGTCTTTGTTGTTAAAGCCAAGTGGCTTAGGCACAGTCGGTTATTGGTAAAAGGTGTAAACTTTTAGGGACTTGAAGATTAGCCTAAGATGCAATTTGATTTTTGTTTTTAAATAAAATGAAGTATCACCATTTTCGACTTTGACTTAAAGTTGTAATGATGGCTGCTGTGTTAGCTACTATGTGCATGAACGCGAATTTGATCATAATTAAGATATAGATATATACTAATGGTTAGGTACATATCCCATGGGACAGTGAGAGGCATGGGTCTTTACGGCTATAGAGATTGGAAATGATAGAAGGAATGATGTTAATAGTTGAGACAATGAGCTTCTTGCAAGAGATTAATTACTTTACATGAATTTTTCGACTAATGATCGTGTAACAATTAGCTAGGGGATGAGAAAGTTGGGAAATGGTACTCAGAGAATTGTGTATTTTGTTATTGCTGCTCCGTCATCTAGAGCTGTTTCAGTAATTGTGTCACAGCCAATTGTTTTTATCCATTTCTGCAGGGATGCAAACCAGTGGACCGCATGGACATAGTGGGAGGTTCTGCATCAGCTAGTCCATGCTCATCATACCACCCAAGTCCGTGTGCATCTTACAATCCAAGTCCTGGTTCTTCTTCCTTCCCAAGTCCGGCCTCATCCCATTACACAGCCAATTTCAATGGCAATTCTGATGCCAATTCCCTAATCCCCTGGCTCAAAAACCTTTCCTCTGGCTCATCTTCAGCTTCATCCAAGCTTGCTCACCATCTCTACATTGCTGGGGGGTCCATAAGTGCTCCTGTCACCCCACCGTTGAGTTCTCCAACTTCCCGAACTCCTCGAACAAGAAATGACTGGGACGAAACGACTGCTGGCTCAGCATGGGCTGGGAAGCACTATTCTTACCTGCCTTCATCAACTCCACCAAGTCCCAACCGTCAGGTTTTTCCTGATTCAGGATGGCTTTCTAGACTTGAAATTCCCCAAAGTGGGCCAACATCCCCTACGTTTAGCCTTATCTCACGAAACCCGTTTGGATTTAAAGATGAGACTTTATCAGGTGGAGGATCACGAATTTGGACTCCCGGGCAAAGTGGCACATGCTCCCCAGCATTTCCTGCGGGTGTTGATCAAACATCGGATGTTCCAATGTCTGATGTGATTGCTGTTGAGTTTGCTTTTGGCAGCAACGTAACAGGGTTAGTGAAGCCTTGGGAAGGAGAAAAGATCCATGAGGAATGTGTAGCCGATGATCTTGAACTTACACTGGGAAATTCAAAAACCAGGTAATTTGGGATGGATTTATAGTTTTGTGCATGCAACATTTGTGTAATTCTTCATATGCTGCATCTGTTGTCTAATAACTTGTTTTCATGGAGCAGATAGAGCTTCATGGAAAAGAAATGTTAATCAAGAAGCACTTGCGGAAGAGGACGAGAATATTCACCATGGGACTTCATTTTGGCTTCGCGCATATTTACACAAGGAGTTAAATTTCATGTCAAAATCTAAGTTTCTGTGTTCCGGTTGGCATCATTATTTAGTACAGTGACTAGAAGCATCTGTTCCAACCCCATCCCCCACCCCATCTCCTTCAAACAAAGCAGGAACAAAAGAATAGCTCATAGCTGTGACTTTGCCCCTCAAGTGCACTTTATTCATCCATTTCATATTTTTCCTTCAAAACAGGAATTTTAGTAACGCCATTGACAACGGCACTGGCTGTTTGGTGTGATTGTGGTTTTGTGAATGGAAGTGAATTTAAACGTCTGAGATTTCTCATTGCTTCTGAAATTCAGATTGACCCATCTCTATTTAGTGTTTATATGTACTTGTGACGAGTTTCTTCCAACTCCATCTTGATTCAATCTGCAAGTTTTCTCCTTTCATCGAAATCACTGTTTTTGAAATGCAACTCAAAATCCCAAGTGAAGAAATCAATGCATACGTGTAGAGCGGGCTAACCAGATAGGTAAATGAAACTGGTTGCCAACAGTAAAGTAAAAATTTTTTGCTTTTCAATTGACCTTCTCTGGGGTTTGAGTTGAGGCAAATCAATACCTTAATAGGAAGCATGTCCATGTTGAAATATGAGGGAGCAGAGGCATTCATCAGAGTGACAAGTTGAGGTGTTATACTAAAATGAGCAGGGAAAGGGGTTATCCAGCTTATTTGTCAGGGAAAAGGCATCCCAAAAATATCAAAAGAATTTATATTCATCAGATTGAAATTTTCATCACATTATTTGCCAAGTCTTCTTTTTGGAGACAAGCAACTGCCGTGGCATCTGGCATGGAGTCGTTTTGCTGCATCATTTTCAGAATTAATTCTCTTTCAATACACTACAGTTAAAAACTTCATTCATGGATTTCCAAGATCTTTTAAGTTGATCAAACAATGATGATAACAATCTTTTCATTATCCCTTTGAAATTGGAGAAAGTATGAGATGCTCAAGAAAACAGCAGTAAACATTAGATTTTGAATGATTGCACACTCAAAAAACTTACATTTCTACACACTAAGCATGATTTCTGTATGGTAATAATTCTAGATTAACTGATATGATGATGTTTGAGAAAACAAAAATGGTGTCCCATATAGCACTCAAGTCTTTTCCTTTTTCTCTTTCCCCGCCTTTTTCTCCTTCTGTCCCTTTCCCCAATGCGTACAGTCGATCTAATAATCACCAAGTCAAGACTATGATCCATCCACTCATCTATTTTGAGCACTTCAGGGTAAAGCCGACTGAGATATCTATTTTGACCAGAAAAAATTGAGAGGCTAAAGAGATCCTCAGGGTAAATGATTTTATGCCCCTGATGGTTATTGAACTTCTTTGGCTTCTCAGGATTGTGGCCTCCAGGTGAATGGTAAAGAAAGAAAAAAGGGTTGGGTGGTGCCATAGTGGTAATGCAATTATGGTGCTGCCTTGTTAATCATTGCTCTGCAGCCGCAGAAAATAATCACGCTGTCCTTTTAGTTGGGCCAAGGGTTTGTCGTGTGATCATTTATCAGCAAAGTCGGGTTCCAGCAAAGTTGAAATGAAAAACCGCCTAATCTTCAATTTGGTTTTCAGATGATATTACGTGGACCTCTGGTTTGCTCCCAACAAAGTATAGAATTTAGGGTTGCATAGAGTTCTGAGCAAATTAATTGCCGCAACTATTTATTTCAAAAGCTGGTGATCCATCCATGTTGATAATCCTTTCAAGTGATAAGAACCATAGAGTAAAGCTTGTAGTCTTAGTACATAAAGCCAGCATTGCCTTAACTTGGATTTCCAACATCATATGATATCATAATGGATTACCTAGAACAGACCAACAGTTTTGCAGCTAAAGCAGTGACCGTGAGGTTATGGTGGATGCACCAAGATCTCACTGAAAAGGAAACCTTAGCCAGGGAAACATTGAAAAAAAATCTATTCTTCTTTGTTTTCTTTATGATTTGAAGGTTCAATAATATAATACAATCACAAGAAATTAATCTGGATATTCCTCAACATATATATATACATTGCATTAACATGCTAAGTGTTTTCTTTTTCTTTCTTTTCTGCCAGTCTTTCCATTTTCCTTCCAATTTTTCCCATCCAGGTCCTTCCCTTTTGGAAGACCTATAACGTATACAACAATCTGATATCAACTTTAACACAGGCAAAGAATGATGGTGCAGCAGATCAGAATAGATGATTTATAGAGAATGTACATAAGATTCATCTACCATTGGCGCTTTTCCACACTAAGCCTTGAAGCAAATAGTTTGATACCCAACTCAGGAACTCAACTTAGCATGTTATATAGATCAGAGAGTGCATGGTAGAGAATGACAGCAGCAGGTGGCCGAGGCATCGACCCAAGAAGTATATCTGATGCTGTCATTGACTGGCTGCCATAGAATCGGGAATTCTCTCTTCTGCGAGTGGTGACAATACTCCCTTCAAGGGAACATCCAACAAAAGCACCTACATATTCAAACATAAATCAAAATTTGAGCATTAACAAGCAACAATAAGATTAAAGGAAACATAAACATAGGGCAGCAGCCGCAGTCTGCTGAGAATAATGGATGATGCAGTTGTTGATCTAACACTTTGTAAGAAATTCAACCAGTGATACTTGACTTCGTAGGATTAAAAGAGTGGGCAAAAACACCATATGTGGGCAAACAGGGGCCTCTCATGTAGGTCAATAGTTTTGTTGTCATATACCCAATAGACAACATTATCGATGTCAATATTCAACATGATATAGTGACAGACCTAAAAATCACTAAGACAAATATGCAGCTGAATTTAATCCAATTACATTGAAAGAAAAAAAAAAACCCTCAGATGAGATGAGACAAATACCTTTACTGCAGCTGTATGTATAACAAGCAGAATAACCACCATCACCAGCTCGTACATCAGCTTCCACAGCCCGTCCAACAATACCAGCAGCTGCACTCAAACCAGCTCCAATAGAAAGATGTGCATTGCCACTAAAAGTCTTAACAGCATCACTTGTTCTCAAGATTATAATAAAATCTGTCAGCTCTCCCCCAGCCTGCAGATGTAACCCTTAGTAGTTAGGAAATAAGTGAAAAAGAATTTAATTTCACAAGATTCGTCCATTGCATCCACTGTCCACATATCCCGATTTAGTTCCCTTGGCTCAAATAAAGGCCCTGTGCGGATTAATAATAAAGTTGAAGCTCAAAGTTTGCATGTTTTTTTTTAATAGAAAAGAAATTGTTTTCGGACAACAACAAACAAGGAAAAAAATTTACCATTTTTCCATTGAAAAAAAGCAACAAAGCTAAAAATGATCCTTAGGAGTGGAGACTGGAGAACGTGTGAGAGTGAAGCTAGAACCAGCAATACACCCAGACACACTTTTACTTCTGAAAAATTAATAAAAGTTGATTCTGTTCCATCAACGTAATCTAGAAAGAGTAACGCCTATGCTACCATTTCCAGTTTCTTGGCTATGAATTTCCAACAGGAAAAGTTTAGTTTATGTGTTGTTAAGGAACAGAGATTAAGTATTCACCTGAGCTCCCCATCCTATACCAAATGAAGAAATGGCAGAGGGTGGAGACCAGGAGCCATCCTCTCTACGTGCAATCACAAGTCCTGTACCAACATTGTATGTAACCATGACACCAACTTTCATAACAGATATTATGGCAAGACCTTTTGCTTCTCGAAGAATGGCATCTGGAATTGATTTCTCAGGTTTCAAAGAACCAACCTGGCCAGTGAAAAGGAAAGAGGTGAGAATCCCAAAAAAACTATGTACAATTTCAATGAGAATAAAGACATGATAGTTTTACAACAAACAAAACTATAATTTCCTTCTGTAATTGGCACTCAAACTTGCATATATGAGAGTGTCACCCTCCTTTTTTTTTTTGGTGCATGACATAATAGTCTCAAGAAGCCTCTAGGAAAATGAATGATCATCAAGCTAAAGAAACTAGCAGAATAACAGGCCCTTTATATTCACAGGAAGGTGCAATTTTGTGCAAAACCATACACACTGGTTTACTAGTTAACAATTAATCAATGACATGTACGCCTCAAAGCTCAATCTTACCTTCGTAATATAACCCCGAATTGCATTTGTTGCCTTGTAAATTTCATGTTCCATGGACTGTCCCCAGGGAAAATTAACCCAAGATCTCATAGTACTCAGGTCTGTCAGGTCATGGGTTGGCAACTGAGCAGCATGACTAACTTGGTCCATCAAGTATCGTTGGACAGACTCAAGCCGCACACAGCATACATCACAGACACGTTGTGGATCAGCAACACGAAACTTTTCTGGCATTAAACTCCTTCCTTTAGAACACTCACCACAAAATATTCCTCCACAAAACCTGCAATGGTGTCTAGAACACAGGATTGGGTGAAACCTCACACCACACAGCATACAAGCAGAAGCAGCACTGTCAGCCAACCACTTTGGTGGTTCCGCTTCAAGAATTTCCTTCATATTACCTAAATTTGCTTCAGTTAGCGTCTGGGCCATCTCTTGCCAAGCTTGCTCAAGCAAATGACTTGATAGCCACGAAAAGCCACATCTTTGAATATCACCGGAAGTGAAAGCATTTACTTTCCCACGAGCAGCAAGTATCATCTCCACTATCACATCCCACATTGTTAACTCCTTCTCTTGCTCAAGGAACTCGCCCCATCCCATATCACCTTCAGGGAAATAACCCCCATTGGAATGAAAACCTCTAGCCCACCCTTCATGATGACATTCAAGCATAGGTGGAACTGAGACTGGTATCCAAACCCCAGTGTCTTCAGCAAGCGGGGAGTCATAAAAGAAGTATTTTCCTGGCTTCGGATGGCTAGTCCTTGGTTCTTTTTCCTCATCATTCAACTCCTCCGTGCTTTTTGTTGGCACTGATAACCCATTATCACATTCTCCAGAAACATTCATTCCTTGACTCTCAAAACTAGCATGGCTTGGCGAATCATATCTTTCAAGTCCCATGCTATCATCCTAATTAATAACATAAAAAGGAAAAGCAAACACTCATCAAATAGAAAGAAAAACACCCAAATAAAAAACATCCCAAAAACTTTGAATTTCATGGACTAAAAACGCATCATTTTGATTATTCCTTAGCTTAAAATTAGCATTAAAGTTAGACCCTAATTAAAAGGAACAGAGAAACAAAATCAAAATCCCAAACTTTCTGAATCCAATGAATCTATGACTAATTCAAAGAATAGAAACAATTTCAAAGACTTACCGGGAGAGAATTGAAGTTCCGATTGCCGGTAACATTGTTTAGGGACAAAGAACAAACCCTAGAATCCAAAACCTGGTTTTCTCGAACTCCGGAATGAGGATCAAAGCCCGGACTTTGATTGGAACCCTCCATAAAGTGATTTAATTCAATTAAATTCTTTACCCAAATAAGGGCATAAAGGAAAAGCTATTTACAGAGAAAAAAAAAGAAGAAAATAGAAATAGAGGCAGAAAAGAGGAAAAAAGATTATATAGTTTTGAGGAGTTGATTTTATAAGAGAATTTTTATTTAATTTTAGTGAAATTAATTCATTAATCATTGAAGAAAGAGGTTGGATGAATTTGGGGCTGCCTTCAAAACTTAGAGTCCTTTTAATGTAACGTGTTGGTCATCTTATATATTTTAATAATTAAATAATTCCGGCATTTGCCCTCGTTGTAATAAAAAAAAAACCTTGAAATAGAAGGAAAAAAAAAAATACCATGTCTAAATTCTAACAACATATGATCAAATTATGGATTCAGTCCTTCAGATTCAGACAACAGAAAAAAAGTCACCCAAAGGCAAGACAAAAGAAAGAAAAGACCTAAAAAAAACAACTCTTATTTGACATAACAGCATCTAATTTCTAGAATCTCTCTCCATGGAATCAACAGGCTCTAAACTTTTCACCTTCTTCCCAATTCTCTTCCTTTTGTTATCAACTCTAAGCCAGCCATCATCATCATCATCACCAGCTGATAGCATTATTGACAAAGACTCTTCAGTCTCTTGGTACCGCACCTTGTTAGCCGTCCAAAGGAACAACAAGAATCAGATCCCAAACTGTGTAGAAATGGTGTCAAGATCTCAATGCTTGCAAAACCCAAAGTGCCGTTGGTGCCACAGTGAAGCTCTGGATGATATGTGCTTTAGCAGGGCTGAGGCTTGGCGCTTGCCTCAACAGGTTTTTCTTTGTGATTGATTGATTTATTCACTTTCAACTTACTTTCTCTTTTTCGCTTCATTGTATTCTTTATTTTGCTTGTACCCTCCTAGTTACTTGTGAATGAATGAGTTGTTCAAAAGAGAGATAATCGTAATCTTTTTTTGTTTCTATGAACTAGGGAATTGGCTGTTGATGGTCATCGAATTTATAATATGGGTTTCTACTATTCTTTTACAGGCCTTTTTTTTCCAAATTTTCTACTATTTGATTTGTTGCCCCATGTGGATTAGTAGTTGAGAAGGGAGAGGGAGTATTCACGAATCAAGTTTATTCTTTTGCTGTTGGATTGGCCGAAAACTAGTTTATTGAGTGGAAATTTAGGAAATGACTTTTGATGAATTTAGCATTTTGATAGCTGTGTGAAAATGTGGGAGAAGTAATTGGTTAGAATTTGTCTCTTGGATTTCTTGATGGTTGGGAACCAGCTGCTTAAGAAGATAAACGTTCACTTGAATTCTACTTATTACAAGATTTTGTTGGCTAAATTGGTTGGACTTTAAAGACTCTTCATTTAATGGGGAATCATCCAATCCTTAATGGACATAATCATTCCCTTTCCTCTAGAATTCTCTGATACTCTTCTCTAGAGCTGATTGCAAGTCTATTTGGCATGTGATGTTTCTTATGTTCATGATTGCATTTGTTAGATCTATGTTAGCTTAGGATGTGAAATTCTGAGTGTTTTGTTTTAACTCTTTAGGGCATTGTGTAAATCTTTTCCTTGGTTATAATAGTTAACGTGTGTTGCATTCTAAGGTACCAGTTATGGTGCATATAAAAGTCTAGACAGAAAATAACAGTGTCATGGTGATCTGCACCTAGAGGAAGGAACATGACTGTTGAACATTAATTCAAAACCATGGACTTCTTTACGGTTTGAGTTTTTGGTTTCAATACTAAGACTTGAATACAATTTAGTTGTCTTTTTTCTAGGGGTCCAAGACTTGTATTGGCTTATATTGTGTTTCTTATCATGGGTTTTGTGTTCGTTGCCTCCTATGTGTGCTCAAATAGAAGGATAGTGGCTTCTTCCCCTTAAGGATTTTTGAATAGACGTATTGGAGTCAGGACTCAGGAGAACTTGTATCATCTTGCCTTTGTTTCTCAAGAATTTTCTGCTTAAGGGTGAAAACTCTCAAGCAAACGCATGGTCCGACTCAGAAAGTATAGTTTTTAACATGTTTTGATGACATACGGGAGGAAGTTTGGCAATTTGGCTTGACAATTGAGCTGGAAAATGGGAAGCTGCTTGCTCAGGGGAGCAAAACTAGTTTTATAGAAAAGTTAGGAAGCCTATCTTGAACATAGAAGTGATATAGTTTCTTACCTTTCGGTTTTTTTTCCCTCCACGTGGAAATTAAAGGCATCTTTCACTGAGTCGCATTCAGTTTACCTGCATCACCAGTAGCCTTACTAAAGGGGCTTGCTGTTGTTGGTAGTGTATTTTTCTGGTGAAATTCATTGGAGTATGGCCAGAGAAACTCTTCATGAAATGCATATGCTATTTTTCTTCTTTTGTTGTACAATACAAGTGTTTCTCCAAAATTTTTGGAAGGAAAATTTGCTTCAATATTACTATTCCTAAGGAAATTGCCTCCTGTTCATAAATTGTGCACTGCATTTGGAAATTTAAGAAATCAGAGGGATTTCCCCTAAGATAGCCTCCTAGTTTAAACGTTCCATCTTGCAGATGATTCCCCTGCAATTACCTGCTTAAGCACAAAAGGGGCACTTCCTTGAGAGAATCAGAGTTGGATCAGTTGCACTAAGAAGGCAGTCTAAACAATGATATGCATGTTTTGAGAGCTCCAGCTTACTCCTTTTGAATCTGGCATGACCCAAGCACAAAGCAGCTACAAAGTCCCCCTTCCCTTCGTTTCTACCTAGTGATGAGCTGCGAATCTTAATGTAGAGCTCATTAATACTTGTCTAGAAACTGAAAAGTTTAACCAGAAGAAAGTGAATGAGGCTACTCTATGTATGAGAAATCCTGCAATCATGGGATTTCTTTCTGTGATACTCTTTATTTACCATCTTAGATGTTTTGATCGGCTGTCATAGTAATGGAATAAACTTTTGTTGAATTAATTTAAGAGCAGGCTGGAGCTTACTGTCAAACTTTAGCTATCTTGGCGCTATTTACACCTTGTAGGAAGCAGATTCAAGCAGCCTAGATTGTTTGAAATCTTCTTGAAAAAATGTTCAACAGAATTATAACCGAAGAAAAGATTCCAGCAGTCGAGACACCTAAATTTCAGCAATAGCTTTATCAGTTTAAGGGGTCCTACCTAGAGCTTATTTTTCAAACTTCATTTGAACCTGAAGCCAGTAAATCTTTTGCTTCACAGAACTTTTATAGTATTTGGTTTTTGAATGTTTAAAACAATTTATGGATCCTTCAATCGTTAAATTAAATACTATCTGAAAGAAAAATACATAGAACAGAGGACTGGAATTTGATCTAAACAATTGCATTATCTTACCTTTCATTTTCTAATATGAACAAATTCTATTGTTCATAATACAAATCACAAAAGAACAAATTGAACAATCCAACCCTCCGCCCCTCGCCCCCCTAAAAAAAAAAAAAAAATCTTAAACAAAGCAAGCGTCATAGCTTCAAGTGAACAAAGTCATAATCATCCGCACCATCAGTGCTGCCACCGTCGCCACCACTAAAATACTGCTTGACCGCTTCTCTCATATCCTCAAACCGTTCAGACCACTGAAAGAATTGCACGAGCTTCTCCAGCTCCCTATCCTCAGCATCCTCCACAAACGGCCGTATGGAGACAGCATTATCAGGCTGCAAAGAGTAAGCATTTGGGTTATCATCAACTATCACAATTTTCCCCAAATCTCTCCCCATTTCAGATAAGTCCTTAACAAACCTCCCTTCCACTTGCTTGCACGAATCCCGATAAAGCCGGTAAGATATTAACCCCTTAGGATCAAGCTTATCCAAAACCTGTGAAGCATACCGCTGAAGCCCCGCCGTGAACACCACCACCTCGTATTTCTTGCTGATTTCTTCCAAGAAGAAATCGACACCCGGCCGTTTCAATACGTAAAAATTCATAATTTGACCTTCAATATTCGGCCTTACAACAAAATTATACATTTTGGGAGGTGGGTCAGGGCTTGAATGCACCAGGGTCTCATCTAGATCAAGAAAGATAGTTCTTTTAGACTCCGAAATCAAGGGTGGAAGCAAGAAACGGTCGAATACAAGAGCCCGAGGAACAATGAAATTGCTTTCGAATTCATCAAGTTCTTCTTCTTGTTTAAGGATTTTGAAACCCATGTGGCGGCACTTGATGGTTGAAGGGGTTGCTATGGGGGCTAACTTTGAGAAGAGCCTCAGAAGGCGGCGACGGCACGTCTTGATGGACTTGTTGAGGGAGGAAATGACGGAGAACGAAGCATTCTTCTTCGTCGGAGAAGTCTTTCTCCGGTGGTGGTTAAGACGGTGGCGCTTGATGGATCGTGAAGGAGTTCCCTTGGTAATCTTGGAAACCATCTCAGGGCTCTGGATTATGATTGGATGATCGAGAATAATCATCAGCTATAGAAAAACAAAGAAGGAAATGTTCGCAGATTTAAAAGGAAGAGGAGGAGGTTTCCTTTCGTCGGGTAGTAACGGGGTAAGTGAAGACTCCGTAATGTTTTAAATCTTGGTTCGGTGTAACGGTCATAAGGATAGAGGTTCGGAGTGACGAAGCTGGGCTTAGTGAGCGACAGGGTGGTCTCTTTTTCTTACGTGGATTTGTTTTTTTTTGGGGGATAAAAATGTAACTGTAGAGTGCCGTTGCTCCCTGCTTTGATTATCTTGTTATTTTATACTTAAACCCAAGTTTATAACTTTTTATTGTTAGATTAAAATTAAAATCTGCAGGAAAAAAATTAAGGGATAATAATATTTTTCTGCTAATTTTGTGTAGTTCACCTTTTTCCTTTTTTTTTTTTTTTTTATTATTCATTCAAAAGAAGTAGGCAAGCCTACTACAAAGTAAACAAACTGCATTACTCAAGCAGCACTATTGTTTGCAAAAACATTAATTACAAGAAAATTAACAGCATTCATTTAAGTAGGATGTTTTCCTTTAATCCCCGATTCTTAATAAGCATTTTGTTGATCTCATCATCTCTTGCAATCTGTTGTATTCCTTGAAGCCTAAATCTAATGACCTCCTTGAGAACATAGGATTTTGTCCAGGCTATCCATAATATTTCCTCAAAATGCATGCATGCTGTGTTCCAAGATTTCAGGTCCTTGATTCCCTAACCCTCTTCAGTCTTAGGATGCATATCTGCTTCCAACTTTTGCACCTGTAGCCTTGCAGCCCTCTTTTTTTCCAGAGGAATGCTGCAACAAATCTGATTTACTCTATGGATAATATGTTGGGCAAGAATAAAATTTCTACACCAAAATAAATTCTGTAAGCAAAACAAGACTAATTGTATGAATTGTAGCCTAAAGGTAAAGTATGTTTCTCCCACATAAAAGATGTAAGGTGTGTGAGTATTGATTTATACGTTTGTCAAAATTACCATGATTTAACAAGTGATGTTTTCTATCATTGACCAAAAAAAAGGTAGAGTATACATGATGATAGATATTCATATTTTTTGCTTCACAGATTACCTTAATTTAAAATGCCTTTTTCATGATCAGAAGTTACATTTAATCTTGAACTATATATTAATAGCATTACACTACCTTTTAATTGGTTGGAAATTGGAATTTCATCATAAAATTGTTAAAAGCAGGAAAAAAGGAGAAGTGTAATATCACTATTTACATTTTTTTTTATAATTACAGGAAGAAAATTTCTGCAATATTTTTGGTCAATGATTGGAAATACACACACACACAAAATATATATATACAGTATTAAAGATCGTGTACTATATAAATATATGCATATTAATTCTTAATCTTCTAAGGTTTTTGAACTTAAAAATATCAGAGGTGCTTTATTAATCTCCGACGTCGGCTCATTTTGGCAGCACCAAAATACTGCTTAACCGAATCTCTCATATCCTCGAAACCATCGCAATATCTCTCGAAGAACCCCATCAACTTCTCCAATTCTCTATCTTCAATGTCATACTCAAATCGTTTTATGGGGATTGCATTTGCAGGTTGCAAAAAGTACGAGCTTGGGTTATCATCAACAATCACAACTTTTCCGAGGTCTCTTCCTATCTTCGACAAGTCCTTCACGAACGTTCCTCTCACTAATTGCTTGCATGAATCCCTGTATAGACGGTGAGATATCAGGCCCTTAGGGTCTAGAACATCAAGCAGCAATGAGGCGTATGGCTCGAGTCCTGCTGTGAACACCACCACCTCGTACTTCTTACTGATTGCTTCCAAGAATTCATCGACCCCGGGTCGTTTCAACACGTAGAAGTTTATTCTTACACCATCAATGATTGGTTTAATCATGAAATCATACATTGGTGGAGGTGGGCCAGGCCTTGAATGCACCAGGGTCTCGTCCAAGTCAAGAACGATGGTTCTCTTTTTGTCCGAAACTAATGGAGGAAGCAACTGTTGGTGCTTGTTTAATACAATAACGTGAGGCAGAGAAAAACTAGTCTCAAATTCGAATTTAAGTCTAGGGCCAACATCAGCTCCAAAGCTGCAGGTCTCTTCCCGTTCAAGGATTACGAAGCCTTGGTGGCGTCTTGTGCCTGCCAACTTGAAGAAAAACTTGATGAGGCGACGGTGGCATTTGTGAATGGACTTCCTTATGGAAGCAATGACGGAGAAAGATTTGGTTTTCAATGTTGCAGATGATCGTCTCTTAGGATGATGGACACCGTGGAGGTGGTGACGACAGAACAGGTGGTCATTGTGGTGGTGGTGGCACATGGTGGACTTTGGTTGGTCCCTTTCGCCCATCTTTAATGACATTCCTTGGTTCTGGGTATCAATTGGACGGTCGCTAACAATTGTTGTGCAGAGAAATACGAGGAAAAATATTATATAAAAATCTAGAGACAGAAATGGAATCAGTGATGTTGGAATCTATGTGTTGAGGTTTGGGGGGTACGAGATTGGGAGGTTTTGAAGTTTGGTTCGGTGCAACAGTGATGCAGTTACGTTGAACGCCAGAGCTGGATTTCCAGTGAATTTAGTAGTGGCCTAGAAGGAGAGGGGGAATATTGTTGTTTCTTTTTTCTGTTCAGGGAGGCAACGACGCTAGAAATTAATTAATGCATGACAGCAAAGAATTTGGTTTGTAGACCTAAAAAATTAGTAACTTAACTGAAATATTGAGAGGTGCAACCTGCAATAATGGGTGGCATCAAGGTTGAATCAAATTTTCTTCTCACTTTTTCTGTCATATTATTTATTTATTTTTTTGTCAAACCAATTTAAATATGATAAATACTTGACAAATAGATACGTTTGATTTAATGGTGAGTACATTAATCAAATTTTAAAGTCATAAGTCATGACTGTTCAAATCCTACTACTTATGGAAAAATTTTAAAAAATAATTAATAATTTAAATAATAAAAACAAATTAAAAAACAATTAAATCCAATTAATTTGATCTTATCAAACTCGATTTAATTGAATTTTGATATGTTCTTACCTGATTTGATGTGAATTGGATTTTGTTAATTTTAAGAATCATATTGAACAATGATTTTCAATCTAATTTAATTATGATAATATTAAATAAAAATCAATACAAACATGACAAACTTAAAAAGTGACGAACATGTTAATATATATATATATATATATATATGATATAAATAAGAGTTGTGCTAGAAGATGTTCATCGTAAAATATGTTGTGGTATCAATAGCATGAGTCCAGAACTACCCTCGACCCAGCACAACTCATATGGTATCTGACTCGGGGAAAGGGGATTCGTTGATTCAAGTGTGATGACCCATGTGGGTTGTACTTACCACGATTGATCTTGTGCTAGCTCAGTCTGTGTATTCTAATGTTCAAGTTCATTTTAGAAATTGTGAAATTTCCAACGCACGAAATTAAAGAGTTCGAAATTTTTTAACAACGCATGACCTTGTAGCCGATTGGCTAGCTGACCTAGTCTAACTCTTTCACAATCTTAGTAATTTTTTTTCTCTCAAAAATGTCAATTTAAAAAGAAATCATTTCAAAAATCATAAACATCTAGCAGTTTATGGTATACGACTATATTAGTCAAGAGAATTTATATATATATATATATATATATATATATATATAAAAGGTTGCAATCAGGGAAAGAAATGAATTTTTTTTAATTACTAGTAATTATAACATTAACCAAACAATCGGATGTAAATTTTGTCATATCTCAAATATGTACAAAGAAAAAAAATTATTAGACATAGTGAATCAAATATTATAAAAGATTTGTTTAGGATTTGTTAGATATTATTTGATAGATAAAAAAATTTGTAGAAAAAAAATTCTAAAAGAAAAAATATTCTTAATAAGCAAGTTTGTATGATTATAAATAGGTAAAATCTCTATACGGTTAGGTATGAAAAAAAAGATGTAAGAGAGTTGTAGAATTTTATGAGATAAACACCCTATAAGAGTACTGAGATTTTACGTTTTATGAGTGTGTATGTTTGTTTGTGAGCGGACTAAAAGAGACTAAGAAGGTCCACATAAGTATAATGTATGAGTGTATATGGATATGTGTTTGGTTGTGTTAAAATGGTGTACATGGGTATGTGTTAGTTTGGGTTGAGAATACTCCATATGACTAGAGGATATTGAAAGGGTCTATAGATATTGATTATTGAGTGGTTAATATGTTTTGATGTATGTTTGTAATTTTGATTGAGGATACTCCATATGACTATAGGAGATTGAAAAGGTCTATAGGTATTGATTGTTGAGTGGTTAATATATTTTTATGTATGTTTGTAATTCTCTACAACTAGTGAATCTTATTTCTTATCCATACACGTAAGTCAGTTGGATCAAACCACGTTAAATTACTGTCTCTTGTTAATTGATTAATCGTTTGATTTCATTTTCACTGGTGTGATTGGATTGAGGCATTTTGACCTAACAAGTGGTATCAGAGTTATGGTAATCCTTAACAAGTGGTATCAGAGCTGTGGTGATCCTCCAACAAGTGGTATTAGAGTTATAGTGATCCCTAACAAGTGGTTTTAGAGCATAATTTGAGACATAGAAAGTGGTAAGTTCAAAGAAGTTCAATTTAAGAAAAGAATTCAAATTCAAGTTTTGAGAATTGAGAATTGAGGATCAATTTGTGTGAAGCATGAAGACACATAAGAGAAAATAATTGTAAAACTTTCATTGTAGGTAGAGCCAAGTATGTCTAGCATGAAAACAGATAATTTAATGAAATTTGAGTCAAGGTGGAGATTGTTAGGAATAATGACTCAAATCTCATAAAAGATTTGTTTGGGATTTATTATATATTACTTGATGGATAAGAAGACTTACAAAAGAAGAATTCTAAAAAGAAAATGATTATTAATAGGCAAGTTTGGGTGGTTATAAATAGGTGAAGTCTCTATAGGATTAGGTATGAGAAAAATATATAAGAAAGTTGTAAGATTTTGTGAAATAGACACCTCATAGAAGTACTGGAGCTTTACGTCTTATGGGTGTGTATGTTTGTTTGTGAGTGGAGTAGAAGAGACTGAAAAGTTTCACATAAGTATAATGTATAGGTGCATATGGATATATGTTTGGTTGTGTTGAAATGGTGTACATATGTATATGTTTATTTAGGTTGAGAATACTCCATAAGACTATAAGAGATTGAGAGAGTTTATGAGTATTGATTGTTGAGTAATTAATATATTTTGATGTATGTTTGTAATTCTCTATAACTAGTAGATCTTATTTCTCATCCATGGACATAGGTTAATTAGATCGAACCACGTTAAATTACTGTCTCTTTTATGATTGATTGATCATTTGATTTTGTTTTCGTTGGTGTGATTGAATTGAGATCTTTTGGCCTAACAAGTGGTATCAGAGCTATGATGATCCTTAATAAATGGTATCATAGTTGTGGTGATCCTCAACAAGTGATATTAGAGCTATAATGATCCCTAACAAGTGATATTAGAGCTATAATGATCCCTAACAAGTGATTTCAGAGCATGATTCGAGACATGAGAAGAGGTAAATTCAGAAAAGCTCGATTCAAGAAAAAAGTTCAAATTCAAGTTCTGAGAATTATGGATTAATTTGTGTGAAATGTGAAGACACACAAGAAAAGATAATTGTGAGACTTTCATTATAGGTGGAGCTAAGTATGTCTAGCATAAAGATAGATGATTTGATAAAAATTGAGTCAAGGTAAAGATTATTAGGAATAATGACTCAAATCTCATAAAAAATTTATTTGAGATTTGTTAAATATTACTCGATGAACAAAAAAACTTGTAAAAGAAGAATTCTAAAAGGAAAAAGATTTTTAATAGGCAAGTTTATATGGTTAAAAATAGATAAAGTCTTTATAGAATTAGATATGAGAAAAAGATGTAAGAGAGTTGTAGAATTTTATGGAATAAGACACCCTATAGGAGTACTAAAGCTTTACGTCTTATAAGTGTGTATGTTTGTTTATGAATGGATTAGAGAAGACTAAGAGGATCCACATAAGTATAATGTATGGGTGCATATGGGTATATGTTTAGTTGTGTTAAAAAAATGCACATAGACATGTATTTGTTTAGGTTGAGAATACTCCATAAGACTAGAAGAGATTGAGAGAGTCTATGTATATTGATTGTTGAGTGGTTGATATGTTTTGATGTATGTCTATAATTCTCTACAACTAGTGAATCTTATTTCTCATCCGTGAATGTAGCTCAGTTGGATCGAACCACGTTAAATTTCTATCTCTTGTGTGATTGATTAATCGTTTGATTTCGTTTTTGCTAATATAATTTGGATTGAGGCCTTTTGGCCTAACAAATAGTATCAGAGCTGTGGTAATCCCCAACAAAAAATAATCTTTTGATATAATTACTAAAGGACTTCCTAAGAGGATAAAAAAAAATTTTGAGTTTGAGACATAAAAAATATTTTTTTAAAAGTAATTATATCTCTAAAATAGAATAAAGTCTTAAAATTTTCAAAACAGAAGTAGTAAAAATGGTTATACTGAAAATCTATTTATAATGAATGAACAAACATAAATTTCTATTTAAATGATTTTAACCTTTTTTGTATAATCATGACTTTTAAGAACAAAAATCTATCTATATTTAAATAGTTATGACATTTATTATATAATAATTATTTCTATTCAAATATAATTATTTAAAATATAAATAAAATTAATATAATATTAATTTTATTCATTGATAATTAAATCTTTCTATCCATATACCACATTTTAAACTATCAACAATTTCATATTAATTTGAAATGTTAGTGCTTAATCTTTAACCTTTCACACAAATAAATATTATAAATATAAAAAGATATTTCTCGATTTAAACCTTTAATTAGTGTATATATCTTAAAATTTTAATAAATATGATGGTGTCCGCAAATTAAACATTAACTCGTAATGTTGAAATTGAAAATATAACACACATAATACTTATTTATTCTTTTGTCAAAGGCTTGTAACTATTTTAGTTTATTATAACCATGTGTTTATCCTATTCATAAATATTAACAAGAGATACCCCAATCCTTCTTGTTGAAGCGACACCACTTCTATATTTATATAGGTGGAGTTTTCATTATGTCTCCATTACTTTAGATATTTAAAACTCAGTTAAGAGTATAAAAACTTATCTTCCTCACGTAATAGATCACATTAGTTTATAAATTTTAAATAGATTTTATTAGTGTTTAAAAAACACATAATAATAACTTATTTTTACCCATTAAACTTTGTATTTAGAAGTTAGTAATTCAAAGTTAAGTTCCCATTATTGGTATCTAATAGTAAGGGCTTAAATCCATTTTACTTATAGTACTACTAACCAAATATCTTAGAATTCAATTTTCTTTTATGATAATTACCTCCCCATGAATCACTTTAGGTTAATAAGCCCAAAATTTTCATTTCGCATATCATATATATGCTCTAGAAATTGTTGCCTTGTTCTTGTCATTTTAAGAAATAGATGACATTAGTTGTGGCCATAACTTTATAGTCAATAATATAAATTTTCAACCATTATATTTCTACACTTTTATTGTTTTTAATATAATTATTCCTCTAGTATAATTGGATAAACTGAATGAATAAACTAAGCTATTTTAGTTCTTTTAAGATATTTAAGGACCTTTTATGATTTTAATTTAATAAGTTGTACTAAATTTATTAGCTTATATTATTTGCTCATAAAATTATACTAAAATCTTACAACATTATAATGACAATTTTTATTTATTTTTATTCTTATCACCCTCACCATATGCAAATTTGCATTCTTTTATTAAAGAATGTCCCATTCAGTTATCAAAATTTTATATATATTTAATCAAGTTGTCATTTTATTTATCTTTTCACTAGTTGATTGTTTTTTTTAAATAGGAGGTCTTCAAATCTACCATTAGTAAAAAATAGCTAGTAAATATTTTATCTTAGTATTTCCTTTTCATAAGAGTTTCAAAACTTTTATTTCAACCTAATATGAAAGTGTACATCAATAAGTATGATACCAACTATAATCACCCTCAAAATTAGTAAATTCATGCCTTTTATAATCTTCTAATTTTATAAAACTTCCATTCTAACTCTTGGATACTTAAAATTTATTTGATCATGGACACTAAAGTCATATCCACCATGGTTCATATCATTAAAAATAGTCAAATTTTCATGTATAACTACACAATACTATAAATTTTGTGTCTAAATTATAAAATACATGATTTTTTTTCACCCAACAAATGAAAAGCATTTTAACTAGTTATAAAGAATTATATAACTTCTCCAATTGAATTGAAGTTATCTTAGATAATATATTTATTTCTTATTGAAATAATATTATATAGATCAAATAATATGAATCATGCATTATTCTCTTGCTAAGAAAATGCCATCATTGAATATAGACTATAAAATATGATTTTATGATAAAAACATATATACTTGCTTCTTTTTCAAAAAGGTTTATAAATTCACAATTTCTTTTATGTCTTAAAATAATTTTTGAAAATTTTATCATTTTAATTTGATAACCATGGTCTTACCAAAATATAACAAGGCTATAAAAGAGTTATAACCAAAGCTAGCAAATACTCCATGTCTATTTTATGCTTATGACTATTCAATGTTATGATTAAAAAAATTCACATATAACATACCATAAAATCATGAATCATAAATTAAATAATTTAATTCATAATCAAAATATTTAAAAAAATGGTCAATAAGAAAACAAAATTCAATAAGACTCAAGGTCTCTAATGAATTATTAATCATTAATTTTTTAATAGAATATAAAAACTAGAAAGATAATAATAAAAAACTTATTTTATATTTAGTATTTATTCCACCGAGAAACTATTTGGATAATTAAAGTTTTTCATACTTATTTCAAAAGTCAATTTTACCAATTTTGTTAATTTCTTTTCCTTGTATTTTCCTCCTACAAAATATGAATTTCATAATTATCTTTAAATTGTTAAAAAAAATTAAAAAATTAAAAAAAAATTTAACTTTGAAATGTAAAAACCTCTTTCTTAAAGGTAATTATGCTTGAAGAATATAACAAAACTTTTAAACTTTTAAAGCAAAAATAATGAAAATGGTTATACTAAAATATATATTTATAATGAATGAACAGACACAAATTTTTATTTAAATGATTATAATTTTTTGTATAATCATGATTTTTATGAATAAAAATATATTTTTATTTAAATAATTAAAATTATTTGTTATATGATAATTTTTTTTGTTTAAATATAATTATTTAAAATAAAAATAAAATTAATATAAAAATTAATTTTATTCATCAATAATTAATTTTTTTATCAAATGTAAAATGCACCGTATTCTAAACTCAAACACCTATAATCCTAGAAAGTATTCATGTCGGAGGCAAATTTTTCAGTGTAATTACATGGTTAACTTCTAGTTTCTTAAAAAACATCATGACCTTAATCTTTAGCACCTTCGAGGTACTGTTTTACGGCATCTCTCATGTCTTGAAAAACATCACATCTCTCAAAAAACCCCGCTAACTTCATCAATTCCCTGTCCCAAAGCTCATCACCGAAAAAGGGTTTTATGGGGATCCCATTTTCAGGTTGTAATGCAAAAGACTTTGGGTTATCATCGACGATCACGATCTTCCTCAAGTTTCTTCCCATCTCCGACAAGTCCTTCACGAATTTCCCTCGCACATGTTTGCATGAGTCCCTGTAAAACCGGTGCAATATGAACCCTTTTGGGTCAATAGTATCCAGCACCTTCGATGCATACGCTTCGTGTCCTGCCGTGAACACAACAACTTCGTATTTCTTGCTGATCATCTCCAAGAACTCATCCACCCCTGGTCGTTTTAACACGTAGAAATTTATTGTCACCCCGTCCATAATTCTTGAAACTGAGAAATCGTACCTCGATGGAGGCGGGTCAAGGCTTGAATGCACCAGTGTTTCGTCCAAGTCAAGAACAATCGTCCCTTTTTTGTCCGAACCCAATGGAGGAAGCAGGTTGCGGTGTGAGACAAGAACTGGGGGCACGAAGCTGGTTTCAAATTCAAGTTGGAGTCGAGGGCCAATATTAACATTGTTGGGTTCGAACTGCGTCTTTTCTTCCTGTCCAAGAATTTCGAAGCCCTTGAGGTGGCATGATGGCGTTACTATACGAGCTAGCTCGGATAAAAACTTGGTGAGGTGATGGCGACACTTGACAATGGACTTCTTTATTGATGCAATGACGGTGATGGATTTGATCTTTTTCACTGGAAACCGCCTTCGTTTATGATGAAAACGGTGCTGACGCCTGATGGGCTTTTGCTTATCGGATAGCATTTCTAATTGGTTCTAAGGTGTGATTGGAGAAAGATCATTTGTTTGAGAGAAATATGATCTTAAGGGAAAATTAAAAAACATAAAGAAACAAGAGAGATCACAGAGGAGTTATTTTTAAAATTTTGTTCCATTGGCAACAACTAACAGGTAATTATTGAGTTAGTCAGAGCTGGATTCCCAATTTAGGAGTGGAACTGTTTTACAGATAGAGATGGAATTTTCTTGGGTTAAATTTTATAGTTTTTTTCTTCATCTGCGTTTTCTAGAATGATTCTCCTCCTTGGCTTGGGAATTTTTATAAAAGTATTTAAATTAAATAATATTAGAAATAATAATAATAATAATAACAAAATATTTTTTTATTTTATTTTATTAATTTTTTAAATAATTTGATAAATTTCATTCATATGTAATTTTTTTGTATTACTCTTTAGCAAATATAAAATTCTAGGTAGCCAAATGATGGAGTGATCATTAGGAACAAGAATGATTCTATGCTCTTTTCCATTTTTTTTAAAATGGATAATATATAGTGTAGGATTTACAATGTCACTAACCAGTAATATCTCTAATTACATAAGCAAATGCCAAACTGGGTCAATACAAATATCATTTTTATGGTGTTGTAAATTATAATTAAGCAATAAAAATTAGGCAATAAGATAGACACGATCACGCAATCCATGACAGAATGTGAGATCTCTTGGTTGGGTCATATAATTGCCTCCATAAACATAATTAAATTTATATTTTTTTCTAATTAGGATATGAGTCCAAATCAAGACTCGTTATTTTCTGCAGTTTGTTTTTTCATATTTTATCATGATCTCATACCCCACAAGAGCCCATTTTTTTCTCCTTCCATGGGCCATATATAGCGTCTGAAGGCCTACCGCAGAAGACCGTCTGAACTAACAGGAACCAAGGATAATTCTTTAAGCAAAAACTCTTTTCTATTTCGTATTTAATTATTGAAAATGACCTAGTGAAAAATGGTGATTTGGAGCTGTGGATTGGTCAGACTGCCACTTGTCAATGGCTGGCGAGCAACCGCCAGTGCTTTTGTCTCCAATTGCCTAATCATTTTGGTGGGAATAATGCAGAACTATGGATTTTGTTCAACAATATGAGATATGTCGATCTGATATAATCCAAAATATTAAAGCAAGTGATGATGATTGAGCTGGCCGATTAGTTGATATAAACATGGAGAAGCAACAACAAAAAAAAAATCAACAAACAAATCAAAAAAATATTGGACCAAGGAGTATATAATTTGGGTTTTGAAAATTATCATGCGCATTAAGAGAAACAAATGCGAAATTCCCTGTTGACTTAATTTTTTGTTCCCTTATTGGCTTGATTTTCAAGAAATGATAGCTCTTACTGTTAGTGATCACCTACCAGGAAAGAAACAGAGAATATTTTTAAGGTCTGAAAGACTGAAATCCTTGTAATAATTAAACTATTTATAAAAGCAGAACAAGTTTGTGATTTAATCAAATTGTCTGAAACATTGGCTTGAGTCCCGCGCAAAATCCCCTGATACTTGGTGAGGAGATTTGGATATATTAAAATTTTACCTTATGAATCAATATAATAGATTCATATGAAAAATATGATTAAATTGGCAAGTCATCTTAAATTTTTGTCGGTTCAAGTGTAAAGAGATTACAACTAGAGAACCTATTCAATGCATTCATGTATTTTTTTATTATTTATGAGTAGTAATGTAATCGATCAAATTCAAATCGATATAATATTAAACTGAATTCAAACTCAACTTTAAATTTAAGATTCAAAATTTAGCTCAAACTCAATCAAATTTTAAATTTTTTAACTCAAACTCAACTTGAAATAGAAATCGAGCTATTCGAGCACGCTTGATTATACTTAATTAATATGTAAAAATAACGATTCTTATATTCGATAAAAACTTAATTATTTATACTCGAATTCAAATTTAAGTTCGAGATATTTTATCAATTAAAATATATTAAAATATAAAAACTTAATTAAACTCACAAGTAACTCAAGTCATGTATAAGAATACTCAAATTCGGATCGATCGTTAAGTCAAATTACTCGAGTTCGACTTAATAATAATCGAATCGAATTCAAATTTTATTCGAATCAAACTCGAATAACTTACGAGAATCAATATATTATTTACACTCTACCCATGGTTGTGATTGAGCATTCTTCAATGCTTTTTCTCTGTTGACAAAGCCATATTAACTCACATTTTCAACGATATCTCCAAGCAAAGAGATAGATAAATTAAATAAAAAACAATCAAAGCAGAAGCAGCAAGAAATAATTAGATGCATGGTCAATCCATCAAATCCAATTTCTCTCATTCCTTGTTTTATATATATATATATATATATATTTATTTATTTATTTATTTATATTTGTGTGTGTATGTGTGAATTTCAAAAGTGTTAAAAGTGATTAACTTAATATAAAATTTTAAACTAACAAATTTATCTTTAAATATATAATATTTATTAATTAATTTAAGTTTAATTTAAATCAACTAAAATTAAAATAGAGTTTATGTGAAATTAAATTATTTAAAATTTTAATTCAAAAAATATTCAGAGTGATTGACTAAAATATTTTTAGTAAATATTTTATAAATTTTAATTTAAATAATATTTTTTTATTATTAGACTTTTTTTTTATAATTAAACTAAAAAAGTATTAAAAGTGATTGATTAAAATTATTTTCATAAAGTTTTAATATAAAATTGTTAAAAGTGATTAATTAAAATACCATTAGTTATTTTTTTATAAAATTTAATTTAAATAATTTTTTTATTATTATACTTTTTTTATAATTAGAATGATTTTTCACATCAAATAAAAATAAAAATAAAAATAAAAAGAGATCAAAATTTAGTGTGCATAAGAATAGAACAATTATATGAAGTTTGTTTTTTTGGTTGTTGTAAAAATAATTTTATGTAGTTTATGTTGATAAATAAATTCATTAAAAATAATCATAATTAAGTCATTAAAGCATTTATTTTCTATTTTTTATCTTTCAATTTTTTGTTTTAATAGATTTGTTAACTATATATGTATGATAATACTTTATTTATTTAAATATTTTATGAAAATATGCTTTATGAATTGATAATTTAATTTGATTATTGATAACATAATTAAAACTTTTTAGATCCTTAAAATAATTCTTTAACATATCATTTTTACAATTTAGTCTAACATCTATAATTAATTTCTCTTTTATATTTATTTTTTCTAAAATTTTATAATTGTTATTCTCATAAACAAAAACTAATATCATATCAAATATAAATTAGTTACACACCATTCATCAACAATTAGCACTATGTGATTCATTGAACACTTTAATTAAAATTTTCACCTATAAATTAAATGATTTTGGAGGTGATGGAGTTACTAATAGTTTAGGATTAAGTCCTATCAAATTACTATAAGAATTGTTCACTGTGATTAAAATAATAATTGATTTAATTTTCTTTTAACTTTTATCTTAATGTGCATATATATGATTAATTTATATCTCAATATTATTTAATTTTTCTCAATTGTATTAAATTGTTTGGTTTTTTTTTTTTTTTGTCATCAAATGATTGAACAACCTAACGTAAATTATTTTAAGTAGAGAATTATCAAATGAAATAAAATTAATTATTTTTTGCTAATTCTTTTAAGGCATGACACAATTTATTATAAATATCTTTTGAATGTGATTATGCCAAAGTTACATTAATTTATGAAAATTTATATTGTTAATGCTGAAAATGAAATTACTGTAAATTGTATAGGTATTACATAACAAATTTTTTATTACGAGAATTGAAATTTTCTTAAGAAAACATGCTAAGTATCAAACTTAGGAATTTATTTTATTTCATTTTAAGTTTTAAAATTATGTATTTGAATATTTCTATATAATAAAAATTTATATATAATAAAAATTTTCAAATAAAAAAATAAATTTTCAGTTGGTAGAACATATAATTACATTCAATTAATGAAAGTATCAATGAAAGATTATTCTAAGTAAAAAAATGAGAAGAAATATTTATTAGTTATGCATAAATCTATATCCATATGACAAAAAAAAATTAGTGCTTTATAATGTTTCAATAAAAAATATACAAATATATTGATTTTAAAATTTTTAGGATTAATATGAAATTCTTTTATTGAGAGAAACATTGTATGCTCTTTTATTTTCTCATTTATATCAATTGAAAAATGTTTACTATATCATCAAAATTTTTAATATTACCATATTAGGTAATATTTGTTTAAGAATTAAAATTCAACAAATTAATTATCGCTAGTACATTTAATATAAAAATATTAATATAAATTATAATTTAACTAAACTTAAAAATGATTTAGGAATTAATTACTAAATTCATTTTATAAATCTTTATTTAATTGTGTATTTAGTATTTCAATTATTTTGAATTTTAACTTTTTATAATTTTGAGTTGGAGTTTAGATTTATGAACAATGACCAATTAGATTAAGTCAAATTTTATGATTTATTTTTATTCATAGTATACTCAATTATTTACTTATGCATCTAAATAAATTTGACTCAATAATTGTTGCATGCTTCTTTTTGTTTAAAAAATTGGATTCAAATCATTCTAAATCCAAATAAAAAAGAAGTATACTCAATTACTTATAATTATAATTTCACTTTAGAAATACTCTTAAAATTAATTAATTTAACCACAACAACAATACAAATAAGACATTGGAGATGAAAAAAAAGTATAAATAAGAAACTTTTTTAAATTATTATAGAAGATGAATAAAACATATTAAATTCTGATTGGGTTAATTGAAATTTTGGTTATATTCAATCATTTTGAATTTTAAATAACTATTAAGTTGTTAATTTTTTTAAAGCAATTAAAATTGAATCAAGTTAGTTCATTTTTATAATTTTGTGTATTGTATTATTTTTAATTAAATTAAAATTTAAAATGAGCAAAAAAATTATTTATACTCAATTTGAGTTTTGAATTATTTTACGTTTGAGTTTATTAATCA